TGGGGGGGGATTTGCCAAACCATATAACTCACTCAAATTAGTTTTCAAACATTTAGGGTTTGGCAAAAGGCATCTTGCTAAGCCCCCTTTCCCGACATTTTTATGCCCATGTGAATTTCCAGGGAAATTTAATATGTATGTTTCTGATTCATTGAGGCTTAACTCAGCACAGTTGTTCGCCGAGGGCCACTTTGTGTCCCGGAATCTTCCAGAACCTCGTCTTTTTATTTCTTTCTCTTTTTTTTTAATAAGCCCCCTTCAGTGATTTCCCTTCTAACCAGGAAGTATGTCTTTGTCCAGGGTAAATCAGGACGCAAACCTCACACAAATGCACCCTTGGTTGAGGGCAGGGACGGTTTGAATGTGGGAGAGGAGTGGAGAGTGCTGAGGAAGCCCGGGGTGAGCTGCATAGTACGGAGGGTCCTGGGGTCCCAGGGTGGAGCCTCGTGGCCCTGTGTGTGTTCAAACCGTGGGTCTGTCTCTCTGGGGAGACGGGGCGCTGGAGTTTGGGGGTCGCTCAGTGACTTTCAGGAGCTGTTCCTGGCACTGTGCTCAGGAATTGCTCCCAGCAGTGCTGGGGGAATCATTTATGGTCCTGAGGATGGAACAGGGGTCCCACGTGGTAAGCAGGTGCTTTACTGCCGTCCTCGTTCTCTGCCCTGTTAGTCTCTGGGGGCAGAGCTGACCTGGCCATGAGTCTGCCCTGTCTCTCAGCTTGGCTGTCTCTACCGTGCTGAAACAGTGCCAGGGGCTAACGTGTTCGAGCAGCTCTGGTGATGGGGAGTGTCAGGAGAGCCTTTGTCCTTCCGTGGGATCCAGTGGCCAGTCCTGGCCACAAATGCAGTAGTGGAACCCCCCAAGGCGGCTTCCTTTCCCAGTGCAAGTTTTGTTTTTTATTTTTTGTTTTGCCATAAACCTGAGCACAGAATGTTCAGAGCGCTTGATTCAAGTTTAAAAAAAAAAAAATTGAGCTGGTGATAAGTTTTTTTTTTAATGGACTGCTCTTTCTAGCCAAAGATGACATAAGTCTCCCACTTCCCACGTGAGTTTAGAAGTTTGTTTTTCTAGGCCTGGGGTTGAGGTGGGGTTTAAGTAACCAGTTCTATCACTTAGGACTAGGCTCAGCCACACACAACAAATGTTCAGATAGTACCCTTAAATAATTCACTGATTGACTCATTGATGCCGTGAGAGAAATCCAAAGGTGGAAATCCAGGGCAGAAAGCCTGGTCTCAGGGGCCATGGGGCCTCAGGCTCTTGCTCTGTTCCTCCTTGGACACCCTTCACCATCCTTTCTCAAAATTGCTTTCTGGTCACAGGATAGCTGCAAGAGCGCTAGCCCTCACGTCTCTGTTCCAGGCTGCAAGAAGGAAGAAAAGTCAGTCAGCTGATGGGGCCCCCGCAGAAAGCACTCCCATGGAAACCCCACTCCCAGACTCCTGTTTGGATGACATGAGCCACCCTGGTTGGCAAGGAAGACAAGAAAATGTGTCCTGGCAAAGCACTCTGCTGTTCCCCTGGCCAGAGAAAAACACACGGTCATTAACCAGCTATGCTCCCCGGGCCTGGCCCTCACTCTTAAGCCTCGGGGAATTACTGGTGGACGGTGAGCCAGCAAGAAAGTTCCAGAAGCCCCAGGGCCTCCCGCACAGAGGTTTCGGGCCTCTTCTGTGCTTTGATTTCTGCGACCTCAGTGTCCAGGGTGCATATTTGCCTGTGCAGTTGGGGGCATGGATGACCTGCACCAGCAGAGGTCAGCGGGGCCGGAGGGGGCACCACGGGACCACGATCCGGTCCAGTGTGTTCCCAAAAGCTCACCACGACATGGGGCCATGCTGGGAGCAAGAGCAGGAGAGGCTGGAAGGCCCAGCAGGAATCGTAGAGTCGGGCTCAAGGCCACAGCCCGGGACAGACAGAGCGTCAGTGTTCCTACCGCTGCTTCCCGGCCCTGGGGACACACCTACGCCTGCCTCCTCCTACCCACAGGCCCAGCCCTGCGGACATGGGGAGCCTGGGAGGATCCCCTCCACCCTTCTCCCCCATCCTCAGCTGGACCTCAGCCAAAAGTCCCACCAGCCAGGGGCTCCCTGGCCACCAGCATTATCAGTCCCCCTTTCTCCAGCTTGTCCACGACCTTCGATCTGGGGGATGACGACCTCAAACTCCCATCTTTACCTTTGTCTTTTCTTTGTGCTCCTTCTGGGGTTTTGTTTTGCGGCCACACCCGGCAGTGCTGGAGGGTTTCTCTCAGCTCAGTGCTTGGGAGTCACTTGCCGCAGTGCTCAGGGAAGCGTGTAGCGACGGGGATCAAACCCAGGATCCTGCATGCGAGCCTGTGCTCCTCCCACGGAGCCCCTCCCCAACCTCGGTGGGCATTTTTGTGGCATCTCCAGCCGACCAAGCAGCGGCTCAACTGCAGCCCCTGGCCTGGTCAAGCGAGAAGGGCACTGCACAGGGTACACGAGTCTGATGCTTTTGAGGACACAAGGAAGCTTCCAGAGGCTGGAAAGAAGCCATGGGCACCTCTGACCTCCGGAGTGCAGGGGCTGAGCTCCGGGAAGAACAGGGAAATGAGGAGCCCACGCACACCGCAGTCTGTATGAGCACTGGAACCTCAGAGGAGCTGCCGTCACCCCCAGACTGCTGCAGAGAAAGGAACACTGAGGCCTGGCAAGGAAGGGCTGGGCCTGGGGCTGGGGTGCTGGGACAGCAGGAGGGCGTTTGCCTTGCATGCCGCCGACCCAGGTTGGACCCCGGCATCACATTGGGTCACCCAGCATCACCAGCAGTGATCCCTGAACACAGAGCCAGGAGTGATCTCAAGCACAGAGCCAGGAATGATCCCGAGCACAGAGCCAGGAATGAGCCCCAAGTACAGAGCCAGGAGTCAGCCCCGAGCACAGAGCTAGGACTGATCCTGAGCACAGAGCCAGGAGTGAGCCTCGAGCACAGAGCCAAGAGTGATCCCTGAGCATGGCCAGGTGTGACCCAAAAACAAAACAAGAGAAATAGAGGATGGAACATGTCTCTAGCGCCTTCAGTGCTCAGCTGCTGCCTGAAACCTCTTTTCTGTCCACTATGAGAGGCAATGATCCATCGCCCGTGTGCACACATGTGCACACACATGTACACATATGCACACATACACATATGCACACATAGACTCACACGCATGCACACATGCACACAATACACACATGCATGTACACACAGATACACATGCGTACATGCACGCGCATATATACGTGCACACACACACACACAAATGCACATGCACACACAGACACACACACCCCCACCCTGGCTGTCTGGGTTCCTCTCCTGCCGGGATGTCTGGGCAGGTACACACACGCCTCAGTTTACTCACCTGTAAAATGGGCCTGAGCGCATGTTACCTTCATCCCTTGCGCCAAATGGCAAGGGCAGGGCAGCACAGGCAGCCTGCCAGTCTGGACACGCCTACGTCAGGCCCCTCCCGCTGACCGGCGGTGCCCGCGGCCCAGCGTGCTCCCAGGACCAGATGCCACAGCAGGCAGGAAGTGGCCCTGGGATGAGGCGAGGCTGCTCCCCTCAGCCGGCCGTGGCACCTATCCAGTGTCCACCTCCTGGCCAGCAGGCTCTAACGGAATGGAACTCAGGGGCCTGGAGTGCTAGGACAGAGAGGTGGGTGCTGGCCTTGCCGGCGGCTGACCCAGGTTCCATCCCCAGCACCCCATCGGGTCCCCGATGCCCATCAGGAGTGACTCCTGAGCGCAGAGCCAGGGGTCAGCCCTGAGCACCGCCTAGTGTGGCCCACAAACCAAACTAAAAATGAAATAAAGGGACAGAAGTCTGAGCCCCCTCCCACCAGTCTGTGCCGTAACTGCTTCCACAAGCCTCTGCATGGGGGCAGATGGTTCAGGGGCCGACTCAAGGCCCCGATAGGGTCCCCAGCACTGCAAGTTGACCCTGACAGTGCTCGAGGAGCCCCCCCCCCCGGGGCACCACCAGGCCCGAGCACTGGACTGTCGGGTCTGTTGGCTGAGCCCACTGGGCGTGGACTCCCTGAGCACTGCTCAGCTGGTGTGAGATTCTCTGGGAGCCCTGCTTGGGAGCACCCACAGGACTCATCAGGACTGGGAACCAGATGTGACGTCAGCCGGCCCAATGGGGCGGGGCACCCAGGGGCCCTGGTGTGGAGGGGCAGGACTCTGGTGGGGCAGCTGGGCAGTCAGGGAGAAGGGCCAGGGATGAAAGCCCCCAGCACTGGGGCCACCCAGGGACAGCGGACGGCAGGAAGGCACTGGCCTGACCCCCGCCACCTGCTGTGACTCGCAAGAGGAAATGCCCTGGTCAGGCAGGGATTAAATGGCCAGTTCATAGACCACAGCAGGACCTCGAACCCGGAACCGAGGGAGGAGAGGGCGGGAGAGAGGGGAGAGGGAGACCAAGACAGTGGGGGAAAGGGGAGGGGGAGAGGGAAAAATATTGGGAGAGAGACAGAGACAGAGAGGAGAGAGAAGGAGAGAGAGGGGAGGAGAGGAGAGACAGAGACAGAGAAAGGAGAGAGGCGAGACAGAGAGAGGAGAGAAGAAGAGAGGAGAGAGAGAAAAGGAGAGAGGAGAGAGAAGAGAGAGAGGAGGGGGAGGGAGGGACCAAGGGGGGGAGAAAAGGGAGGAGAGAGAGGAAAGAGACAAGAGAGAAAGAGAGGAAAGAGAGAGGGAAGGAGGTGGGGGGAGAGGAGAGAAAAAGGGGGGAGGGAGAAGGGAGGGACCGAGAAAGAAGGGGGAGAGAGAGAGAAGGGGAGAGAGAGGCAGCAAAGAGAGGGAGGGAAAGAGGGAGACAGGGAGACCCAGAGAGGCCGGGGGAGGGGTCCAGCCAGCCAGGACCAGCGCCCGCGCTTCCTGGTGGAGGCCGGGGTGCGCCCCCCAGGTCCCAGGGTCCCCAGGGCCGGGCGTCCCGCTAGCGCGGCGGGTCCGCGGGGCGCGGCAGGTGCGGGGGTCGGGCGGGAGGCGGGCTGGGGTGACGCCGCCGCCCGCCCTCCGGCTCCCGCAGCCAATTAGACGCCCCCCTCGGGCGCTCCTTAAAGCGCCGGACTGTCACCCCGGAGCAGCTGCGCCCCGCCAGGCCGGAGCGGCGCCCGCCAGAGCCAGCCATGGCCACCCCCAACGGGGCGCTGGACAGCAGGACGCCGCCGCGACCCGTGCGCAGCCTGGAGGTGAAGTTCACGCAGGTGAGCGCGCGGCCGGACCCGACGAGGGTCGCTGGGGCGGGCGGCGGGGCGCGGGCGGCGTGAGCACCTCGGGCACCTCGGGCACCGCCAGCCCTGCCCCTCGGTGAGGGCGCGGGGAGGCGGCTGCGGGGCCAGCCCGGGGGCCCGGGACCCCGCACAGCCCCGCCCGGGACCCCGCACAGCCCCGCCCGGGACCCCGCACAGCCCCGCCCGGGACCCCGCACAGCCCCGCCCGGGACCCCGCACAGCCCCGCTCGGGACCCCGCACAGCCCCGCCCTGGAGGGACGCTCGGGGCCAGCGCGGGGCTGGCGGGGCCGGCCGGGGGCACGGGACCCCGCACAGCACCGCCCCACCCGGGACCCCGCACAGCCGCCCCACACACACACCGGGAGGTGCGCGCGGGCCCCCGCGCGCGGGGCTGGCGGGGCCGGCTGGGGGCACGGGCGCTCCCCGGGCAGCCCTCCACCCGACTAGCTCCTCCCGCGCCCCTCTCCGGCTGACACGGGCGCCGGAGAAAACCCCCCGCCCCACACCCCATCAATTTTACTTTCAAAAGTAGCAATTAGGTCCCTCGAATAGTTTTAATCAGGCGGAGAAAGTGGCGGACCATTCTGTGTGGCCTGCAGATTTGGGGGGTTCTTGGCACTTCCTGGCGGCCGGGCCTCTGATCACAGGACGTTTAAATTGCCCGTTGGGGGCGGGCTCGGATCAGCCCTGACGGGCCCAGCCGCGGGAGAGGGCTTTTGAAAGCGGGTCCCTGACTGCTGCCTCCGAAGAGGAATTCCTGCACCAGTTCCGAGACACCTATGAGCAGCCCTGACAAACTGACAAATCAAATGTGGGGTTTTTTTTGGGGGGGGTGTGTTTTATTTTTTTTTATTTATTTTTTTGAAGTCTACCACTGGGGCTGGGGCTGAGTTTTATTTTGGTTTTGTTGTTACTGATTTTCTTTTTTTTTTTTTTCCTTTTGGTGGCAGGGACCAGGGGAATCTTGAGATTCTCAGCCAGCCAGGCTGGTAGTTCTATGCAAGGGCTTGAGAATGCAGTGCCTCTCAACACTGCAGTGCCAGGGATGACCCAGGGGTGCTAGGAAGTGTGTGTGTGTGGGGGGGGGAACCGTGAGGTACCAGTGATGTACATGCACAGCCAGCCACATGCATGGCAGGTTTCGGAAGCCCCGTATTGTCTCTCTGGCCTTTATTTGGTGGTTTATTTTCTGCCTGTGTTATTATTTTTCTTGTCTACCTTTGAGTCTTATTGTGCAAACCAGGCACTTCTGCAAAGTTTGCCTTTCTCTGCGAAAAGAACAAGTGGTGGTGGGTTGGGGGGGCCGAGCGTTGGGGCCCCCTGGAGGTGCTCAGGGGCTGCTCTCTGCTTGGTGCTGGGGGCTCTGTCCTGGTCCCGGAACTGAGCACACACTCGCCCTTGAGTCTGTCCACAACCCACCGTCTCCAGTCCTCTGAGGCTCGCCCCAAGTGTCTGGGGGCGTGGACGGGAGTTTCTGGGCAACCCCCTTCTCCCAACCCATCTCAGGGCTGCTGTCTGGTCCCAGCGACAGGAAGTGGGTTTGGGACCGAGGCTGAGGGCGCAGAGACAGACCTGCAGAGCCCTCAGATGCAGGTCAAACAGCTGCCCGCCTGCCTCTGACTCGTGGCTCCCTGTGGAGACCTCCAGGCCCTCTCACTCAGGGGGCCCAGTCAAGCTCCCGGGCCTGCAGTGCTCAGGGAGTGTCAGGGAGCGTCCGCTTGGAACACAGCCCTGAGGGCGAAGGAAGGAAGGAAGCTCTCGAGCCAGAGAAGACAGCAGAGTAGGGGCCGGCCGGGCAGTGGGCACTGAGAGCCCAGTGTCAGCCTGGTCAGCCTGTTCTTTCGCAAACCTGACTCCTGGGCTAGCATGTTTGATTCCCTGGGTGTGGCCCCAAAGCCCGAAGCAAAGACCTGGGCCCTGATGTTCTTGCTAATAGAAGACCCTCCATGGGGGCATGGGGGGTGTCTGAGCACTTGCTGGCAGGGGGCGGGGGCCGGGGGTGGCTGTGCTGTTTCCCAGGAAAATTTTGTTTCTGGGAGGCTGACTCCACTGTGGGGGAGACGTCGCTCTGTTCTCACAGTTCAACATGAGCCCCTGGTCCCAGAAGCCCCCTCCGTCCTCCGGGCTGTCAGCTTCCTCTTTCAGGAGCCCCTTCCTCTCCTTCCAAGACTCTGCCAGGAGCAAACATTCACTGACAGAATTTCCGAACTCTAAAAGCACAGGCTTTCTTCTGCTCTTTGATGGAATTGCCCTCAAATCTTTCTTCCCAATGCCTCCGAGGTGGATGCTAGCAGGGAGACGAAAGAACTCGCTTGTGTGCACCCCATCTTTCCCTTCACCCCAAGGCACACAACCCCCGCACACCCCCCCCGCCCCGTCTTCTCTAAACTTCTCCGGTCACCCCAGTGGGGCTTCTGCACAATGTCAGTCCCACCAGCCAGTTCAGCAGACGTGATTTCTCACCCTGTCTGAGGGGGGAGGGTCCCCAATTCAGAACGCAAGCGGGACATGTTTTCTAAACCCGTGATCCCGGTGTCGGGCTCTGGGTCCTGCGGCTGGCCTGGATGGTAACAACCCTCCCAGTGGCCCTTCCTTACTTGCGTGTTTGTGGAGAAAATGATCAGCCGTCGGAAGCACGTGGCCAAAGAGCTTACTAGCACCATTCGGAGAAGAGCAAAGACAGGAGGGGCAAACATGATGCCTGCGGAGGGAGCAGAATTTCATGGGTCAGTGTTTACTTGAATGATGGACCCTGACCCAGATGTCCAAATCCTCCCCCGAAACTTGCAGGAGGCGTGGTGGGTCCTGCAGACGGGCCCCATCCCCCATTCACACGCTGTCTCTGCCACCTTCTCATCTTCCAAGCCCCGTGGAATGCAGAGCAGGAAGGACCCCGAATCAGCAGTTTTCCCCCGCCCCGGCAGGCTCTATTATCTAACCCACGAAATTTCATCTCCCCACAAATGGGCTTCCCTTCCCGGCCGCGCCAGCCCTCGCCAGCCCAGCTCTGCTCTGCCGCCCGCTGTTTCTCGCGGTGCCTGCGGGCTGAGTTGCCGGGTGGCAGAAGGGTGCGCTTGGGTTTGGTTTCAGCTGGAAGAAGAACCCTGTAATTGTAGCCCGGCCTTTTCTGCGCTCTTCCCCGGGGGCCCCCAGCTCCTGCAAAGGGCACGGGCTTCCAGCATGCAGAAGGCCCGGGCCAAAGGGGCAGTCTCTGCACTGGACTCCACCTCCCACTGCAGCCCAGGGCAGAGGACAAGGCACGGACGTGCTCCCAGCCAGCAGCATCGCTCCCTGATGAGCCTCAGGGATTCCAGGAGGCCCAAGGGAAGACAGGAGCGAAGCTTCTAGCTCACTGGCCGACAGGGAAGTGGGGCGGGTGTGAGGGGGCGTTGGCCCAATAATTGAAATTAGTCTGACGGTGACCTGCTGTCAGGACACAGAGCCACCGGGACACAGTCCTGAGCATGGAGAATCTTGGGCAGCACTTGATTTTCTGGGCCTGCTTCCCAAGCGGTTCTTCCCGCGTCTCGGCCGGGGCCTTGCTCAGGACCACAGTGGACAGTGAGGACGAGGCTGTCTCAGGCGCAACTCTGAGTCCTGTTCCCTAGGACGCGGGAGCCGGGTCTGTGGGCGTGGAGGGTGTGCATCTGATGGGCAGGCCTGCTTTGAAGGCACGGGACCCCATTTCCACCCCAGTGTTCCCCGAGCCTCTGAGCACTGACAGGTGATCCTCCGTGTCCAGACAGGGTCATACTCTGGGACCTGAGCCTTGAGCTGTCATTGCAGTTCCCGACCTGCCACTTCTGTCCCTACTTCATCCCCCGAAGCCATCTTTTTCAAGAAATGGATGCTTTTAAAAGCAATTCAATCTTGGAATAAACCAAGCCAATAAATCCCCCCATTTCAGTAGCTGGATAAATGTGGATTTTTTTTTACTTTGATTGTAGTGCTTTATTTTTTAAAAAATATTTGGGTGGGGGGAGTTCATCCCCCACCCGGCAATGCTCAGGGCTGACTGCTGGCTCTGTGGTCAAAGAGTGGGGAACTTGTGGGGTGCCAGGTTCTTGGGCCATGCCCTCTGTGCTCTCTCTCGGCTCGTGATGCTTCGTTCCGGCCTCAGCTGTGCTCTAGACATTGCGGGGTACCAACCAGAGAGCACAGATCATCAGCCAGTTCTCCAGTTCTGGGTGGACATACGCAGTTACTGACTGCGTCTGTGGATAGAACCAGAACATTCCCTGATATTTACCGTCGGATCCCAACACTGGCTCTTATGATGCTCAACAGGGAAATCAAAGTTGTAAGGAATGTGGGGGAGAGACTGCTGTGAGCAAGAGAGACAGATCCCTGGCCGAGAGCACCCCTGCACCGTCCGTCCGGGCGGGGGGGGAGGTTGCAGCAGGTTGGGGGGAGAAGCAGGTGCTTGTGGATAATTTACCCTCTAGTAAAGCCCCATTTCCTCTCCCTGTACCAAACTCTCGGAGGTCACCGCCTCTAATTTGCACCTTCATTTAACTGTTGAGCTTAGCCATCCATGCTTCTGCTGATGCATGCTGTTGCTTAAAAAAAAAAAATGCAAAGGCTTCAGAAAAAGTCCAAACAATTGTGACCCAAGAGTGCTGCCCGGCAAACGTGATTAAGAGGCTTGGTCTCCACTCCTTGGAGCACGAGACCTTTCCCTCTGCTCCAAAGACCCCCTGTAATGTTGAAGGCAGGGGGCTAACGGTGGGGGGGGGGGTTAGGAGAAGACAGGACGTTACCTAAGGTCCTCAGCATGTTGGAATGATGATTTCGATTAAGCCTAACGCATTACAACTTCCTCTCCTGGTTAGATATTCATCAACAACGAATGGCATGCGTCCAAGAGTGGGAAGAAGTTTGCCACGTACAACCCCTCCACGCTTGAGAAAATATGCGAAGTAGAAGAAGGAGATAAGGTGGGTGCTCCCTCCCCTGCCCACTTCACACCCCCCCCCCGAGTAATTCAATTACAGATAAACCCCAGCGTCGGGAAGCGGGTTGGCTGGCGGGCTGAGCAAGTCGCTTTGTAGACACATGGGCCAGAATGGGATCAATTAGGCGCCCCCCACCACTGAGAGCCACTTATGTGATTGATAGATGGGCCTTGGGCTCTGAGGATGACCTCAGCCAGCCTCATCCCGGCCCACAGCAAGGTTTTTATCAATGATTCGATCCTGACGGGCGCTAGAGATGCGTTCCAGAAAGCACTTCCAGCCGGTGTGTTTCCCTAAGCATAGCCTTCCACCAGAGAGGCTTTTTTGAGAGAGAGAGAGAGAGAGAGAGAGAGAGAGAGAGAGAGAGAGAGAGAGAGAGAGAGAGAGAGAGAGCGCAAGAAGAAAGTGTGTGCAGGAGTCACAACATCTCACAGTTCCAGATTTCTCTCCAACAGAAACTCCCAAGGCTGGTGGTTATCCGCCGCCTTCCCACCTGATGGAGCTCTGTGCAGAAGCCTGGGTATTGCAGGCACAGAGACGCACACGCAGCTGCAGGGTTAGGGGCCTGCTTGACTTTCAGGGAGATGATGAGGCACCCGAGGTCATTTCCCTTAGCTGTTTCATCTCTAGGGTGAGGACCATGAAGGCACACGGACTTAGCTTCTGGTGAACAGCAAATGAACAAAGCAGGTGTTTGAGTTTCGTTTCAGGGGCTACACCTGGCGGTGCTCAGGGATCACACTTAGCAGGGCTCAAGGACCCTGTGGGGTGCTGAGTATTGAACCTGGCTCAATCCTGTGCGGGGGGGAAAAGAGCTCCCCACTGTGCCATCTCTCCAGCACCCCCAGGGCCAACATTTCTGCCTAGCTCACCAAGGGTGGGTTGTGGGTTTCTGACAAAGTGGCATGGGTGAACATGGGTTCGCTTGGCTCACCCAGAAAAGTGTGTAAGGTCAGCCAGTATAGAAACATGAACGTGTTTCTCCTCAAACCGTTCACTTGGACCTCTAGAAATCTGGAAGAGAGGACACGGGAGATTAGGAAAGACAGATCAGGGCCCGGAGTGATAACACAGCAGGGAGGATGTCTGCCTTGCATGCAGCCTACTGCGGCTCAATCCCCAGCATCCCATATGGTCCCCTGAGCACCGCCAGGAGTGATCCTTGAGGGCAGAGCCAGGAGTAACCCCTGAGCATTGCTGAGTGTGACCCAAAAAGCCGCTTCCCCCCTAAAGAAAAGAAAGACAAATCAGTCAGGAGCCACTGCTGGGAGGGCTTGAGCATCTGCCTTACGGGGGTTCAATCCCCAGCATCCCATATCAAACCTGGGTTAGCCACATCAGGAGTGATCCCTGAATGCAAAGTCACGAGTAACCCCAGATGTGACCCCCAAAAACAAACTGAAAAAGAAGCCAAGGGTGAGGAAGAGAAAGTGGAGGGCTGGAGCGCCCAGGCCCCGGGCTCCAGGCTCCATCCCTGGTGCCATACGCATCCCTGCAACCCTGCCAGGAGGGCCCAGCTGGCCCGAGCCTGAGACCCCGACCACACAGTGTGCAGGGTGCAGAGGGTATTGCCAGAAGGTGACCCCAAGGCCCCCTGAGTTCTGCCGGGCCACGGCCACGCTCCAGGCCTGGACCCTGATTTCCATCCGCGTGGCCCCTCTCTTGCTCTTGCAGGCCGATGTGGACAAGGCCGTGGAGGCGGCCCGTGCAGCCTTCCAGAGGGGCTCTCCCTGGCGCCGCCTGGACGCACTCAGCCGAGGCCGGCTGCTGCAGCAGCTGGCGGACGCGGTGGAGCGGGACCGCGCCATACTGGCCGTGAGTACACGCTGCCCACCCCAGGGGGTAGGGGGTAGTTGCCGTTCCAGGGTCCCGGTGCCCGGCTCTACTCTGCCACCTCCTGAGTTTCAACCTGCAGCTGTGAGGCCCGACACCTCATTCGGCAGATGGGGAAACCGGGGAAGGGGACTGTCATCTGCGTCCAGAAGATTTGCTTTATCCCCCGAGCCGGAGACAGAGAGGAGACCCCTCGCACCCGCTGAGGCCAGTGGCCAGCGGCTTTGGATTTGCTCCTTCTCACCGGGACGCTGGCAGGCGGTGCCCCTGGGATTTCTCAGGGTGAACACTGCCGGCACAGCACAGTCCAGAGGCGGCCCCCACCCTGAGCTCCCGCAGCCTCCCAAAGGGAAGGGGATGTCAGGGTCAGCTGAAAGGCGCCCGTGCGGGCACCCCCGCCCTCCCTCCAGCCTGGGTTCCGGTTCTGGGGGATGGAAGGGCATTTCCTGCCAGAGCCTGGGCGGGGTCAGCACCAAGGGACAAAGGGGTCCTCTGAACCCCGGCTGGAAATAGACAAGAATCCCTGACATTGTGGCCCCCTCACTGGCCCCGGGGCGACGCCTCCGTCCCCAGCCAGGCTGCCCTGTTGTTCCCTTCCGCTCCCTCCCGCTGCCCGGGAACACGGTCGCAGCAGCTGCGTGGGGCCATTGTGCGGGTGGCCGGACCCTCTGGGCCCTGTCAGACTTTCCACTGCAGCCTCTTCCTCCCCTCCAGTGTGGAGGCTGCCGACCCTCCATCCACCCTCTGTCCACCCTCCTGCGCCTCCCTGTCTCCACAGGGAAGCCGCAAACCTTCCAGAGTCTTCCCGGAATGCGGACAAGCTCAGGAGGGTGGAGGGCTGAGGGAGAGGTCACCGGCAAGGCTCCCCCGACTGTCCTGTCCCTGTGGGCCCTCACGGGAACCCTGTCCAAGCTCGGACCATTCTTTTTTTTTTTTTAATTTATTTATTGAATCACTGTGGGAAAAGTTACAAAGCTTTCAGGTTTAAGTCTCGGTGATGCAAATATCAAACACATTTCCCTTTACCAATACTTATTTTTCACCACAAAGAACCCCAATAAACCCCCCCAACCCTCCCAATGCCTGTGAGGCAGATGAATTCTAGTTAACACTCTATCTACTTTGACTTGATTCATTGTTTCGATAAAAGATGCACCATTATTATTTAGAGTTTACACCCCCAAATCAGACATGCTGAAAAGGCATTGTGAAATAATTTATTTTCTACCGCTGGTCACAAGAATCAAATGATGTCGTGTGGTCACAATTGCGCTGCACAATTTTGGATTTCTGGTATTTTACTTATTAAGCCTGGAAGTATTTCTGCTGAGAGTCAGATAATTATGAAATTGGTTTCTCTGCTCTTGAGCCATTGCTGTGCTGGAGAGCCGCTTGTGGGGGGCAACTCGTGACCTCAGTAGGGCGTGAAGGACGAGCTGGGAACACCCCCCTTCCCATGAGGTTTCAGTCTCCCCATCACGACCGGCTCATACCTGGCTTTCCATAAAGCTCCAAAGCGGCTGCCATCTTTCTTTCCAGAGGGAAAAAGGAGCAACACCCTTTCCCCTCCGGGCAGGCATGGTGGCGTAGATTAACGCATAGTCCGTTCACTTTTCTGCTGCAAGCTGCTGGGCTCTGCATTAAGGAGCTCGGACCGTTCTTAATGCCAGCTAGAGAAGTTGGGAAGTTAAAACAGTCCTTTGAAGTCTGGGCCATCCCTGGCCTCCCCACTCCCCTCCCATCCTCTACCCCCCCCCCCCCCAGCCCTGCCCTACCCTTTTCTTTTCTCTTCATTCCTTGTTTGGAAGCAACACCTGCAGTGAGGGGTGAGTTCTGGTCATGCTCAAGGGGACTTTAAGGTGCTGGGGGTGGACCCAGGGCCTCCAGCAGGCAAAGTCTGCACTCTGCCCTTTGAGAACTTTCTCCAGCCCCAAGTCTTTTCATTGCGGGGGGGGGGGGGGGGGTGAGCAGCGAGCACAGGTCTGGTATTCCTGGGTTCAATCCCTCAGAGTCAGCTGCAGAAGTGACCCACCAGGCAAAAAAAAATAGAAACGTATGTTAAGAAAACAAAACTGCATGGGGCTGGAGTGATAGTCCTAGCAGGTAAGGCGCTTGCCTTGCGCACCGCAAAGCTGGGTTTAATCCCAGCATCCCATATGGACCCCCAAGCACTGCCAGGAGTAATTCCTGAGTGCAGAGCCAGGAGTAAGCCCTGAGAACCGCTGGATGTGACCCAAAATGACCAAAAAAAAAAAGACAACAACAACAAAAATACTATGGGGCCAGAGCAGTAGTACAGCGGGGAGGGCATTTGCCTTGCATGCAGCTGACCCGGGTTCAATCTCAGCATCCCATATGGTCCCCCAACCACAGGAGTCACCCCTAAGCATCACTGGATGTGACCCCCCCTAAAGAAAAATAAAAGAAAAAGAAAAGAAAAAGAAAACAAACCAAAACTACAGGTGGCGGGCCTGGTCAGAGTGAGAGTCCTTGCCCCGCATGCGCCTGGCCATAGTCTGACTCTGGCCCTGTCTTGTCCCCAGGCATTGCAGAGGGGCCTGGGGGTCTCTGGGTAGCCTGGGCTGCACCCTGGTGGCCAGTGCTCATTAACAGTGGCACCCAGGGCCCCAAAAGTATTTGGGTGCCTCACCCCCCACAAACATACAAACCTCAACTGGAGACGCCGCTTCTTGGCTTTTGCACGGACACGGCTGATGGGGAAATGCAGTGAGCAGGGAGGGACAGTAGGCAGCGAGGGGCAGTGAGACAGGACACAGGAGCCTGGGTGGAGCCGAGTGTGCTCATGGGGCGTCCTGTGCCTGCAGACGCTAGAGACCATGGACACGGGGAAGCCGTTCCTCCACGCCTTCTTCATCGACCTGGAGGGCTGCATCCGGACCCTCCGGTACTTTGCAGGCTGGGCGGACAAGATTCAAGGCAAGACCATCCCCACAGGTGAGTCGCATCCAGGCCTCCGGAGCCCCATCCTCCCCTGCTCTGCGACCTGCAGCTGACACCCCATCCCCTGCCCTGCTGTCCCAGGGCCTCCTTTAAGCCCCCCAAAGCGTGCGGCTCCAGGCTGATACTTCTAAGGATCTTTTGCTTTGGAATCTGGGTTCGAAATTGTTTCTTTGGGGCCTGAGAGGTCTCTCGAAGGCTGCTGCACGTATCTGGCATGCCTGAGGCCCCAAGTTGGGACCCTGAACTTGATCCAGCTGGACCTGACAGATGCCCCCACACCCCAGGTCACCTGAGCACGGCTTCTTCGGAGCCCCTGTCCCCTCCCCGCCAAATTGCTTCTTTGGAGCAGACACCGTTGTCGGCTGCCGGGCTCCATCCCACTTCGAGCCTGTGGGTCAGGCCCAACCGCTGCAGTAAACGAAGTCACTCGAATCTGCTCTCGCTCTGGCTTTCCAAGGCCCAGAAACTTTCAGCCCATTTACATGATGAAGCTGCCCCGTGAGCATGCAAAAGTACTGGGTCCCCCATAAACCATCCTCCTCTAGCTCCGGTGGGACCCAGGCACGAGCCCAGGAGGTTGGGAAATGAGGCCAGAGAACATGGGGCGGGGGGCTCCAGCTGTCCACACTGCCGACATCTGGAGAGCAGCACAAAGCCAGGGCCCCTCACAAAGAAGAGCTAATCCAGCATTCGCCTACCTCTGGCCGACCCCGATGCAGAGGCCGCACCATCACGGGCCCCCGGAACATCCCTGGGAGGGACCCCTGAGCACAGAGCCAGGGGTCCCTGAGCACTGCTGGGTGTGACCCCAAAACCCTCCAAAAAAGAGAGAAGGAGGGGGCTTGAGCGATAGTACAGGGGGTAGGGCATTTGCCTTGCAGGTGGTCAACCCAGGTTCGATTCCCAGCATCCCATTTGGTCCCACAAGCACCACCATTCCTGAGTGCAAAGTCAGGAGTAACCCCTGTGCATCGCCAGATGTGACCCAAAAAAAAACCGAGAGAGAGACAGAGAGACAGAGACAGAGACAGAGACAGAGAGACAGGGAGAGACAGAGACAGAGAGAGAAGGAGAGAGAAAGGCTTGGGGACCAGGGACCAGCACCACCAGGTGTCGCTCAGCTCCCCCAAAACATAATCTGTATGGGGCTGGAGAGATAGCGCGTTTGCCTTGCATGCAGCCAACCTGGGTTCGATTCCCAGCATCCCATATGGTCTTCCAAGCACCACCAGGAGTAATTCCTGAGTGCAGAGCCAGGAGCAACCCCTGTGCATCGCCAGGTGTGACCCAAAAAAAGCAAAAAAATAAAACCCATAATCAGTTGACATTGGAAACCACTAAAGCATACCTCTCTCTCACCCCGCTCTCTTCTAGACGACAACGTGGTGTGTTTCACCAGACACGAGCCCATTGGGGTGTGCGGTGCCATCACGCCTGTAAGTCCGGCCTCTGTCCCTGGTGACCTGGCCAAGGAAGGGGTGTCGTGTGGGCTGAGACCTGGGGTACTGGCTCCATCATGTGAGCTAGAGTTGGGATGTGTGGGGGGCGGGGGTGGAGGCACATCTGAGCCAGGCCTGGCTCTCCAGGGCACATCAGCGGGTACCCCAGAGAAACGGGAAGCTGCGTTCCCCATGCACCTCCGGCCGCCCCGGTGCCTGAGAGTTTGAACTCACTGCCCTGGCGTCTGTGATGGCGGGTGTCAGGCAGCTCAGAGGAGGAGTGCGCACCTGCGATGCCCCCCCCTCACCCACCCCTGGCCCATGCGAGCCTGGAACTCTCCTGCCCTCTGTGTCCCGAGCCCCTCGGAATCATTGTCCCCAGAGTTGGGAGGCAGGGAGAGCATTTGGCTGTGTGCATGTGGCGAGGGGTGGGTGAGTCTGTGTCCTGTGACACATGGAACGTCACAATGTTGGATGCTGATGATGCTAATGATGAACTCGACCCAGAATTCAAGGCTCTGGGTACTTGGATGGAAGCGAAATTCCCTCTCCCCAAACCCACTTGGCAGGACCTCCCTGCAAGACCCTTAGGAAGGGCCGGGAAGGACTGCGCTTGTGACCTGGGCACACTTCTGTGCTGCCTGTCAACCCCCAAATCCAGACATGTGTACCTGGATGAGCCTCCTGCACTGTGACATGCCAGGGCTCTGGGGCCGGGCAGCCTGGTGGGTGCAGCCCCCTCCCCTCAGCGCCCCTGTGCTCCTCTGCAGTGGAACTTCCCCCTGCTGATGCTGGTGTGGAAGCTGGCGCCCGCGCTGTGCTGCGGGAACACGGTGGTCGTGAAGCCTGCAGAGCAGACGCCCCTCACCGCCCTCTACCTGGGCTCCCTGATCAAAGAGGTAAGGGGGTCCAAGAACAGGACAGAAGTAGAAGCGCTCACCTTGCATGCGGCCAACCCGGGATCAGTCCCCAGGCACCTCCTAGAGTCCCGGGAGCCTGGCCAGGAGTGACCGGAAGTAAGGTGTCCAAGAAGCCGGTGTTTGGAGGCCAGACATGCGGTACAGTGCTTGCCTTGTGCATATGGTATCCTAAGTTTGATCCCTGATGAAAGAGAGTAGGGAGAAGGAAGGGAGGGAAGAGAGAGAGAAAGAGCAAGGGAGGGAGGGAAGAAAATAAATTTGGGTCCTTGATAAGATTCCACTCCCGGGCACAGGCCCAGACTTGAAGTCGCCTGCCAGATCAGGCCACAAGACTGTCAGGGCCACTTGCAGGGAGTGGGAAGCGGGTGACTCCGCTGTTGCATTTGGCAGCTGCAGTTTCTTCTCCTGTCCATGCTCCCTGAGCTCAAGAAACTCCTCCCACTCGTTCCAGGGAACACACCTAACTTTCACGAGGCTCAATCCCCTCATGCCCCTGGGCCCCAGGCTCAGCATAGAGAATTCGCGCGACATCCCTAAGAGGGAGAATCTGGTTTTCGGGAGGTTCCCGGAGCTGTGCGTTTGTGGCTTATGAATGGAGGTTCGTTTGGACAGCACCTGCCAAAGTGGCTGCCACTGCACCTGCTTACTCACCATCTCCCCATCCGTGCTCTGCTCTTTTGGGTGACTGTTCTCCTTCCGAGCAGTCATTGCTCAGGGAAACAGTGACCCAAGGGGCACCTGATGACAACTGTGCAGCCATTCTCTCCCCAGCTTGCATGAAAAAAATAATATTCTTGGTTCATCATAAAATGACCGTAGGTGCAATGCATGAGCCATATGGGTGAGATTGTGGGCATCTGCCCGCCAGGTGTGTCTCTGTGAGGGGCTGAAGCTTCACGGCCAGCAGGAGCATGTAGAGGGATTTCAGAATCAAAACGAAGAGTCACAGCGTGGCTCCATGGACAGCCATGTGCCTCCCACTTGAAGGCTCCAGTTCGATTCCCAGCACCCAATGTCCCCCTGGAAGCATTGTCAGGAGTAACTACTATTTACTCATTTTTGTGTTTCCATGGAACCTTTTGCTTGAGTGGGCCCAGTAATGTCTCCATTGTGACAATTGTTACTGTGTTTGGCATATCGAATACGTCACGGGGAGCTTGCCAGGCTTTGCCGTGCGGGCAAGATACTCTCAGTAGCTTGCCTTACAAGTGGCCAACATGGCCGACCCGAGTTCGATTCCTCCGCCCCTCTCAGAGAGCCCAGCAAGCTACCGAGAGTAACAGTTGTCACAATGGAGACGTTACTGGGCCCGCTTGAGCAAATCAATGAACAACGGGAGGACAGTGACTGTGACAGTGATAGAACCTTTTATTCACTAACCATTTTTACTGCACTATGGGATTTCTGATACTTTTAATCACACTTTTCACGGCTCCGTCATCCCAACACCACACGTATCACCGCAGGTCACTTCCCTCCGCCTTATCCAGGGACCCTCGTAGCCCCTCCTCACATCAGCTCAGGTCTATAACCAAAAATCTCCAGTTTTGGGTCAGAGAGATAGGACAGCGGGGAGGGCTATTGCCTTGCCCAGGGCCAACCCAGGTTCCACCCCCGGCAGCCCAGAGGTGGTCCCAGGGATCACCAGGAGTGACTGACACGCCCACTGTCTCTCCCCAGGTCGGGTTCCCACCAGGCGTGGTGAACATTGTACCTGGGTTTGGGCCCACAGTGGGAGCTGCGATTTCTTCACACCCGCAAATCAACAAGATCGCCTTCACGGGCTCCACGGAGGTAAGTAAAAGGCCCCCAGTCCCCTGCCCCCGCCACACACACACACACACACACACGCACACGCACACCCCTTGAACACCCTCCCATATACATACAGACCCCTCGGACCCAGTGGAGACAGGAACTTCCAAGTGGAGAGGCCACCCCCCAAGCATTGTTGTCTCGTGGCACCATTTTCTGTTCGATTCTGGTGCAGAGCCTGGCAGCTGGCTCAGAAAGCAGGGTGCAGGCCGAGCCTAAGGGAGACAGGGCACCACAGGGACCCCTGAGCCCAGAACTGGAGGCAGCCTGCAGCACCACCACCGGGCGTGAGTGACTCACCGGGGCTGTGTGAGGTTTTTAAAGGCTCCGATGCCAAGCACATGGGTAGCAAACAGGAGCCTGGGTCTGACCCCAGCACCACCGGAGGTGACCCCAAGGCAGGCCAAGACTGAGAAACCAAACAAGAGTTTAATGGTTAGTTCCACCCACCCTGGCCCCAGACATGCTGGGTGCAGGCCTGGGGGTGCATCCCTGAGGGTGGCTGGAGTGGCCTGAGAATTGTGGGTGGGACTGCCAGGTCTTCCGAGTCCATCTCGGAAGCTCCTCGCCCCCTCCCCCAGTAAAATAAAGCAGAAAAGAACTGCAAAGGCGCAGGGACTCCTCAAGGAGCAGCAGCAGGAGACCAGGCTGGGCTGTGGATGCCCTGGCCACGCCACAGCCACGCCTGGACCACGCCTCTGTCATGCCCAGCTAAGCCCTGGCCACACCCTGGCCACGCCCCTGTTGCATCCCTTTATATACCCAGGCCACGGCCCTGTAATGCCTAGATCCCCTCTCCCCCCGCCAGCCCCTGCCACGCCCAGGCCATACCCAGGCCACACCCTGGCCACACTCTTGTCTGCCCCTCTCACACCCAGTCCCTTCCCCACTCATGCCCCTGTCACTCCCTGGTCTCATCCCTGTCACGCCTTGACCCACCCTGGCCCTGGCTCCCACCTTTCCTACAGAGATCTTTCGGGTTCCTCTCCAGCTCCTAGCTGACTTTAACTAGGAGGCTACGACATACCCCACCCACCCACCCAACATGGGGTGGAACCACTGACGGTGGGGTAAGGGGTCACCATAAGCGTTATTGGACAGATAATAGAAGGTTCTTGGATGCACCATGACCAGGAAAGAATCCGAAATCTACCTTGGCAGGAACTCGGGGCCATTGGAGGGGCTCGCCTGGGGTTGTATTTCTTGGGCAAAAAAGGGTCCCCCGTAGGGAGAAGATTTCATAAACTTTGATCTAGGGGGTACAGGGCCAGGGGTCTGGTCCCCAACTCCCCTCCCCAACCCCCGCAGCCTCTGTTCTGAACAAGAAAAGGATTCTGTGTTCCTGAACTGCTCAGCTCAGGCACTTCCCCTATAGGGGTGCTGCACTCCCAGACCCCTGCTGCATTCAGCCCCAAACACCCCTCAGAGGCTGTCCTGCTCCTGCTGCTGGGGGCACATGCCCTGTCCTTGCCCCAGCCCTCACCCCCACCTCACCCAAGCCAACACTGACCAGGAGCCCATTTTTCTTTGATCAGTTTTGGGATGGGGTGGGAGGTAGGGGGTTGCACCAGAGTTCCCTCCCACCCCTCCACCTGGGCGACCTGGAGTGCTGGGGATCAAAACACGGGTCTCACCAGGCCGCCCCACCTCTACTTGGACTTTTAAGATACTAAAAGTTTTTCAAGCTGAAAATGTTGGCTTTGGAGCAGGCCCTTGGCACTGCCCGGCAGAGCAGCTCCCTCCCCGCACCCTCTCTGTGCTTGTCAGGAAGTCAGGATTGTCAGGGTAGGGCTGGGTGAGGGGAGACTGACAGCACTGACAGCTAACCGGGTCAAGGTTGGGCTGGCAGGGGGGTCAGGGCTGCGCTGGCAGTGGGGTTAGGATTGGGTTGACGGGTGGGGTTAGGGTTGGGTTGGTGTAGGGTCAGGGCTGGGCTGGCAGGGGGGTCAGGGTCAGTCAGTGTTAGGGTTGTTTCTCAGTAGGATCAGGGTTAAGGAGGTTAGCAGGGTTAGGGTTAGGGTCTCTATAGGGTTTGGCTGGGCCTGGCCCACCCCCTCTGTCTCCCCCTGCTCTGTAGAGGCCCTGTCCTAAAGCATGTCCAGAGTTGGGCCCCGATTCCTCACCTGTGTCCCCCCACCCAGAACCTCTCCCCGCTGATGCCGTGGGCAGTCCCCATACCCTGTTGGCCAGGAGCCCCTCTGCAGGCGTCTGGGGGCACTGTGGGACGCTGGGTCCAGCTCCAAGTGGACATTGTGCCCCCCACAATCATGTCGGGGGCAACCTGGACCCCAGATTGCAGTGACACCCCCCTAGCTGCCTGGAAAGCAGGCAGAGTGTGGGGGTGGGTAGGCTCCCAGCCCCTGGCCAGGCCCCTGGTCTTAGGGCTCCGGGCTTTGCCCTACAGGTGGGGAAGCTGGTGAAGGCGGCAGCTTCCCGCAGCAACCTGAAGAGGGTGACCCTGGAACTTGGGGGGAAGAACCCCTGCATCGTGTGCGCTGACGCCGACCGTGAGTCTGGGGCCTGCTCCTGGGAGCCCCCCGTCTCCCCCATCTCCCCACTCGTGGTGGGAATTCTGAACCCAGGAGATGCCCACGCACCCCGGCAGTGCTTGCGCGCTTTGGGAAGGGGCGGGGTCTCTCCATTAGCCAGGGTCAGACTCAGCTGCCCCAGTCGCCCCCCAAGGGTGAGTTTGCAGGAGCTGAGCAGTTAGGGTGCCTGATTTCAGATGAGGCCCAGGACACCAGCCCAGACACCACCCTCAATTTCCCCTTCCCCCTGAGTGGGGCCAGTGCCCAGGGAGAGACGCAGGCAGCTGCTGCCCTCCTGGAATCAGCCCCTGCACCCAGCACATCTGCAGGTCCCGAAGGCAAGGAGGTGACACAGCGTCCCAGGTCCAAGCCCTAACAGAGCAGGGGAGGGTGGTGGTCAGTACCCCCTTTGAGCCTCCTCCCGTGGGCCCAACAGAGAGGACAGAAGGCATGGCACTTGCTTTGCACACAGCCACCCAGGCTTAGTTTCCCACACCATGTAGCATCCCCCAAGTCATACCAGGAGTGAGCCCCAAGCACAGAGCCAGGTGTGAGCTCGAAGCACAGAGCCAGGCATGAGTCCTGAACACAGAACCAGGAGTCAGCCCCGAGCATCGAACCAGGAGTAATTTCTGAGCATAGAGCCAGGAGTCAGCCCTGGGCATAGAGCCAGGAGTCAGCCCTAAGCACAGAGCCAGGAGTCAACCCTGAGCACTGCCTGGTGTGCACTCGTCCCCCAAAATAAAAACTCCCCTGGGAGGGGCTGGAGCGATAGCACAGCAGGTAGGGCGTTTGCCTTGCACGCAGTCAAGATGGCTGATACAGGTTCGATTCCCAGCATCCCATATGGTCCCCCGAGCACCGCCAGGAGTGATTCCTGAGTGCATGAGCCAGGAGTAACCCCTGAGCATCGCCGGGTGTGACCCAAAAAGCAAAAAAAAAAACCTCCCCTGGGAGCCAGGAGAGGCTTAAAGGGCTGAGTGCGTAGAAGAGCACCTCCCCACTCTGCATGGTCCCCTGAGCACTGCTGAGTGTCCCCTAATATAACCCAGAAAAAAAGTCCCCTGGGGTGGGGGTGAGGGGTAGAGAGAGTTCAGGTCGGAGAAGACTCAGGTGATCCCGAGTTTGACCCCAGTGCTATGCGGCCCCTGAGTACTGCTGGGGTGACCTCTTGGGCCACAGCACAGCTTGCACTGCATGGCCAGGTCCGAGGAGTGAGCCATTGCGCTCAGGAGTGACCCTGAAGCCCGTCGCTGCTTGGTGCTGGTGAAGGCACTACTTCCTCCCTGCAGCCGCTCTCCCGGGAACGTGGCCCCCAGCAGCTCGGGGAGATTCTGGCTCCGGCCTCGTGGCATGCTGGGAGAGCAGATGCGTTTCTTGGCTGCCCTGTCCGGATCAAATAGTGCTGCTGGCAAGGAATTGTCACAGGTGTGGCTTCCAAGTCCCCTGACCTGCCCACTGGGAACAGACTCCAACCCACGCCCAGATAAGCGAGGTGACAGTTTCTCCTTCGCCCACAATTTCTCACTAAAGTGGGAACAACTGATAGCAGTTCAGCATCTCCCGTGGGCCACAGGACAGCAGGGAGGGCGCTGGCCGCCTTTGCACAGAGCCAGCTCAGGACCCATCCCTGGCACCCCATAAGGCAGGTCCCTCCAGGAGGATGCCTGAGGACAGAGGCCAGAGTCCTAAGTCCTAAGTTTGGAGATGCCAAAAAAGAAAAAGATGACCACCCACAATATCTCACTAACGTGTGAATAACTAATCCCAAACTCCAGAGGAAGCTGATTTGACTTGCAGGAAGGGGAAGGGCGTGGAGGGGAGGGGAGATAGGGAGTAGGGGCAAGGCAGGAGGGTGCAGCCCTGCGCCTTCTGGGACTGGTTGGGGGGCTCCCTGGCAGAAGCATCATTACTATCGCTCCTGCCATGGTCCTGGGTGTGGCCTCACTGTCACCCCTGGAGGACGCCAATTTCTCTCCCAGGCAACGGACCCTGCGCCACAGTGAGGGCGCCCTCTGTCCCCGGGGTGCCATCCGCACTCAGCCTCTCCCACTGGCCCTGCCCTGGAGCTTGGGGCGTGCCCGGGGCTCCTCTGCAGGGCTCCTGCCAGGCTGCCTCAGATTTCCCTCTGGGCAGTGCCATTCTGCCCAGACATCAGGAGGGCCCCACGCGGCCAGCCCACCAGCGGCAGGAAATGAGTTTGTGCTTCAACATGGAGAAATTGGGGTCCAAGGGGCGGGGAGAGACGCAGGAGGCCCCGCCTGGTTCTCAGAGCCCTCAGATCCCAAATCCCAGGGCCCCAGGACGCTGGGCTTTCTGCACCATCCTTGGCATGTGGGCACGGGGTGGGGGCGTATAAAAACAGCTGCCAAGAGAGGAGATAAGCACCCCTCGTGGAGCTGGAGGGCACCGCACCAAGGTCTGGGGCACCTGCTTTGCATGAAGGAGCCCTGGTGGGACCCCTAGCACTGTGTAAATCACCCCAGAGCACTGTGCCAGGAGTAGCCACCCCGGGCAGAGCAGTGTCACGTGGCTGGGCCTGAGCACTGGATGTTCTAGATCAGCTGGCCGAGTTATTGCTGAAAGTGGCCCAGGGACCTCGGGCATCCCTCAGGAGGACCCCTCTACCCCCAGACAGAGCTCTGGCTAGGCGGCCTGCCCGAATCCTCCCCAAAGGCCCTTCTCTGGCAGATGAGCACCCCAGAAAAGCAGGAGGAGGTGGGGGTGCCGTGTGTACATGCCGAGCGATCCACCCCTTGCTCCAGGCTAGTTAGGATGAGGCCAGGAAGTCGGACGGTCGGGAGCTGCCCCCCCACCCCCGCCCCCCACTTCCGAGGCCCTGAAAGCCCTTTTGCGCCCACGCGTCCGGCTGGGCCTGGCTTGGGCCGGCTGCAGCTGGGCCGGCGCTAACGCCCTAACGGCTCCCCGCGGACCCGCCCCTTCCTCCGCAGTGGACCTGGCCGTGCAGTGCGCCCACCAGGGCGTCTTCTTCAATCAAGGCCAGTGCTGCACGGCCGCCTCCCGCGTCTTCGTGGAGGAGCAAGTGTACCCCGAGTTCGTCCGGCGCAGCGTGGAATACGCCCAGAAGCGGCCCGTCGGGGACCCGTTTGACATCGGCACGGAGCAGGGGCCGCAGGTGACCTCATGGGGCGAGGGCTCAGGGGTCCCTGCTGCGTGCTCTGGGCTTACGAGCAAAGAATCAGGATGGCGCCCCGAGATTCAGCGGGTCCCCGGAGGGCTGGACCCTGGCACTGCTGAGCAGGGGACCCCAACTTCATCAGGTCGCCCAGCTCTCCAGAGCCACCCACGTGCCCTGAGAGACCCACGCGAGAGGCTGTGCCCCTGCAGGAACGTGGCAGCCCCAGGGCTCCGGTCTCTGTGGAGGCCCCCGAGGATGAGTGACCCCAGCAGAGAGGGCTCTGGGCGGGCAGCGGGCCAGCAGGGCCTTGTCCCTGGAGGCCTGGCTCAGAAGGGCACCAACAGGGTGGCGCTCATAACCCAGGGCTAATGACCTTGGCAGAGGACACGTCCCCGATGACTGTCCTGCTAATGACGTGGCCGCAGATGGACAATATTGCAAAGGCACCAGCCAGCCCCGGCGTTACTGAAATGGGTCTCGAAGGGCCGCCGTCCAGCCCCGGCCATGGCCCCTCACACCCCTATCAGGAGCCCCCAGTCCCCACTGCCCCCCTCACTTTGGGGTCTCTCAGCTTACACTTTCTTCAGGGGCCCCACAGAATCCGTGGAGCCAAGCGCAGATGAGGTGGCTTTGCACGAGGCTCACAAGCGTCTTTCAGGCCTCAGTTTTTTATATCTGGAAAATGGAGCCAAAGATGTTTTCAGTCGAGGGTGTTTTGTGTTTGGGGCCAGGGTGGGGACTTCCAGGAAGTGCTCAGGAGAATACTGGGCCTATCCCGGCTGTGCTCGGCCATCTGGCTGGGCAGTTTGCTGTGCAGGTCTGGTGGTGTGACATCACACAAGACAGTTGCTGATGGAGAGACAGACAGCGCCCTCCCCCCGCCCCTCCCCCAGCTGTGTTTGGGAAGGAACAGGTTGAAGCACGAGCCTCACTTGGCTCTACTTTGAGCTTTAAAAAAAAAAAAAATCTAGGGGCTGGAGTGATAGCACAGCGGGTAGGGCGTTTGCCTTGCACGCAGCCAACATGACCGACACAGGTTCGATTCCCAGCACCCCATATGGTCCCCTGAGCACCGCCAGGAGCAATTCCTGAGTGCACGAGCCAGGAGTAACCCCTGAGCATCGCCAGGTGTGACCCAAAAAGCAAAAAAAAAAAAAATCTATTTACAGGGCTGGAGTGATAGCACAGTGGGTAGGGCGTTTGCCTTGCACGTGGCAGACCTGGGATCGCTTCCCAGCATCCCATATGGTCCCCCGGGCACCGCCAGGTAATTCCTGAGTGCATGAGCCAGGAGTAACCCCTGTGCATTGCGGGTGTGATCCAAAAAGCAAAAAAAAAAAAAATCTATTTACTCTGTCATTTATGTATGCATTACTATTATGTATTTACTTTTTTTGTTTGGTTTTGTTTGGGGGGGGGGTCACACGCGGCGAAGCTAAGGGCTTACCCCTGGCTCCCCACTCAGGAATCACTTCTGGCAGTACTCAGGGGAGCCTATGGGATGCCCAGGATGGAACCCAGGTTGGCCACATGCCAGGCAAGCACCTTCTTCTCTGTACTGTTGCTCTGGTACCTGCATTTACTTTTTTTAAAATTTGTTTTCTTTTTTTTTCTCCCCCATCGGTGCTGAGGTTTGAACTCAGGACTCCCATCACCCTCACTAATGCCCTGTTTGCCACCACAAGTCTGAATCATTTCAGTTTATTTGGCAACCCAGGGGCCAAGTGATAGCAGAGCGGGGAGGGCATTTTCCTGGTCCGTGGCCAATCTGGTTCAATGTCCGGCATCCCCTAGGGTCCCTGAGCACTGCCAGGAGTAAATCCTGAGCGCAGAGCCTGGAGTGAGCCCTGAACATCATCGGGTGTGTCCCCCAAAAATAAAACATTTGGCAACTGATCACAAGGCACATAAATATTACACAGGCCCCCAGGCAGGGTGACCCCGAGTTCTTCCTATCCTCTCGGGCCTCCCTGTTCTCCCTCCAGCCACAGAGGGCCACCGCACCCCAGCTAACGTCCTCCCATGGCTGGTTTTTGAAGGGCAGTGAGGATGTTCCTGGAGTTTTCTCCTCCTTGGACGCAGGAGAATCTCAGAAGCTTGTTGCCCTGGTTTTTACTCTTCACTCTGATCCATCCTCCCGAGAACAGAGAGCAGACATACCCAGGGAGACGGAGCCTCAGAGGGCCGCTTTCAGCACCCACCCCCTCCCCCTCAGTGCTGGGGCACACCTGTAGCCGGCCAAACCCGGCCAAGGCCAGCAAGACACAGAGAGTACAAGGCTGCGACCAGTTCAGATCTTGCTTTAGGTGGTTGTTGTCGAGGGATGGGGTTTGGTCCCTCAAGAGCACTGCTCAAGGAGCCCTGGATTTACCCACACACCCCCAGTGATTCTAAACCAAGCAGGCTGGGCAGTTGAGTGCTCAGGCCCATCTGTGCTGGGGTCTTCAGGACCACACCAGCAGTGCACAAGAGGCCATGCAGTGCAGGGACTGAACTCCGGGCCTCGGGCAGCCAGGCGCGGGCTCAGCCCTCTGCACTCCTCCAAGGCCCCCCCTCCAGATCTCACCTACAGGGAGAGGGTTGGCTCGGGCTGTGTTTCTTCTCCTTTGGGGCCCTGGGGAAGCCATCTCACCCCCACCCGTGCCTCTGGGGAACCCCAGGGTTTGTCCTAAACCAGGGTTTTCACTCCTGCGGCGTTGGGGGAAAACGATCCGTTCATTTTCCGTCGCAACACAGTCTGGGGCGGCCTGCATGAACCTGCAGCCCTGCCCCAGGCAGGAGGAGAGAGACTGTCTCTCCATCTCAGCCCTGCTCCATGGAGCCAGATGGGTTTGAGAGAGAGATCTATCCCCAAAGCCCACCTGCACCCTCAAGTCAGGACTCGGCAGGAGGGTGAGGGAGCTGGAAGGGGCGGGAGTGGGCAGCAGCCAGTGCCCCGGGAGAAGTGGCTGGACTCTCCTGCTGTGTTTTGTAGATTGATCAGAAGCAGTTCGACAAAATCCTCCGACTCATCGAGAGTGGGAAGGAGGAGGGGGCCAAGCTGGAATGTGGGGGCTCGGCCATGGAGGACAGGGGCCTCTTCATCAAGCCCACGGTCTTCTCAGAAGTCACCGATACCATGAGAATTGCAAAAGAGGAGGTATGAGAGGCAGCCGGGGCGCTTGCCAGGCACAGGCTGGGAGGGGTTCTGTAGTTCTAGTAGGAGTTTTCTCTTGCCCAGGTGAGCATTTTCCTTCCTCCTGTTCCTTCCCTTGAAGGGGTCCTCAGGGAAACCATCCTGCCCCCACCTCTGGAGAACCCCAGGGTTCACCCTAAACCGGGGTTTTCACTCTCTGGGGACAAACAATCCATCCATTTTCTATTTCTGAATGCTCTGGGGTGGGCCTCATAGGAAGTTGAGGGTTTTGCCAGGAATCCAGCTGTTGATTCCTGGCCCCGAGTTACCTCCAGCCACCGGGCGCAGTCCCATGCCCCTTCATCCCCGTAAAAAAAAGAGTGGATGGTGCTGGTTCCTCCTGCTTGGAGGTCTCCACAGTACGTGGCCTTGGCAGAGGAGCCCATAGAGTGAGCACTGGTTGGCAAGCACTCTCAGGCCTGCTGCTCTGCTGGAAGGAAATAAGTTCCCTGCCCAGGTTCTGGGCATGTGGACACCAGGACATGGCCTTTGGGGACACATGGAGCGTGGCTGGAGGCCCCAGACTTCCTAGACAGGAGATCTGGGCCAATCCCTCACTGCACAGTGAGGAGTGCAGAACATTCCAGAGTGCCCCAGAACCGGGGGCGGCCCTTCCGCAGTCCGCCCAGCACATCATTACAGGCTCCAGAGTCTCCGCGCCCAGCCCAGCTGCCCGTCTGCACTGCCCTTGGTCCTTCCTGGCTGCTGGCTCCCCCCCCTTTTGGTGGAGGGCCTCCAAGCAAGGGTCTGGGGACCCAGGGGCCACTTTCAGCAGAACACAGCCAGAGCCTGGGGCTGCAGTCCCACTGGCCGGCACCCACCCTGTTAGGGGCCGCCCAGGCCACACCCGGTGGTGCCTGGGGACTGACCAGCCCTGGTGCCCGCCCGGCATGCACTTCCTGCCCCAGAGCTGGCTCTTGGCCCCTTCTTTGCTGTTTTGTTTGTTTGGTTTGGGGGCCACACCCCGCAGTGCTCGGGCTGATTCCTGGCTCTGCACTCTGGCAGACTTCAAGGGACTCTATAGGGTGCCAGAGATAAAACCTGGGTGGGCCGCGTGTATGCAAGGCCAGCGCCCTCCCTGCCGTCCTGTTGCTCCAGCCCCTGAAGAAACAAATCTTGCAAATGTCGCTTGAAGTTTTTGTGAGGGCCACTGGCCTGCGGGTTGCAGCCTCTGGACAGTGAAGACTCGCTGGAATGAGTCGCTCGGGCTCCCATTCAGGAGAAATCCATGGTACCAGTCGGCAGGAGTGAGGGGGAGCCAGGACGGTCTTCAGTGCCGTCGGACTGGCCGGCTTACTCCAGAGAGGAAGTCTGGGGAGCAGGGGTCTGTCAGAAGCCCAGCTCTGAGACAGCCGCCCCTTGTTTTTCCTCCTCCTCCCCCACCCCACCCCTTCCCTCTGTCATTGTAAAGCTGGGCTGGGGAGGTTCCATGTTGACCCAGGGGCCCCTTCCTGCTTGGCTACTCACACGCCTGCCTCGGACACTCCTTTAGCCGGGGCCCAGCCCAGACCACAGGCAGCAGCACTGCTGGAAGCAAGCAGGCACATGCGAGGGACCCAGGGATCCAACTCTGGGCCTCACAGTCGCACAGCAGGTGCCAAGTCCCTGGGGCACCCTGAACTCACCCCTTTGCCTTTCATCATAGATCTTTGGGCCAGTGCAGCCCATCATGAAGTTCAAAAATCTCGACGAAGTCATCCAGCGGGCCAACAGCCTGGAGTACGGGCTCACAGCAGCCGTGTTCACCAAGAACCTGGACAAGGCACTGAAGCTGGCCTCAGCCTTGGACTCGGGCACTGTCTGGTGAGCACAGGGCCCGGGTGGCGCTCTGACCATTGGGCTCCTCCCCGTCCTGTTTGCGGGCCCAGCCCTGGGTGAACAGACCTGTCATAGAGCCCCTTGGGACTATCCCCAGCTGGCTGTGTTTATGGCCTAGAACCAGTAAACATGAGAACAGCAAACATTCTGTAGTTGGATGAGACATTTACATATCAGGGTGTTGGTCAAATATAAACAGGTTTAGTTAAGCATAAATAGAAATATGAGTTTAGCTGAACGTAAACAGAGGTCAAGTGCTTCCTCCAGGGGAAATTCTCTCAGAGATCTGCCCAGGGGTGGGCCTCCATCTCGGGGCTCCCACAATCTGCCTTATGACCCCCAACACACCGTGAAAACAGGGGCTGGTTCACCCCTGTGCCACAGACAGGACTGAAGCCCCATGGGGGCGGGAGCGAGAGCACAGCAGGTAGGGCATTTGCCTTGCATGCAGCTAACCCGGATTCAATTCCCAGCATCCCATATGGTCCCCTGAGCAACACCAGGAGTAATTCCTGAGTAGTGCAGAGCCAGGAGTAACCCCTGTGCATCACTGGGTGTGACCCAAAAAGAAAAAAAAAGGCCCAACACACACAGGCAGCTGGCCGGCCCAGGGCTGCGTGGCTAAAAAACACCATACCAGGCTCGAGGCCTGGGCCCCACCCTCTCTGAGACTGCAGAGGACGTGGCCTCGTTCAGAGGCATTCACTAGATGAGAGCATGAGGTGGGACATGGACAGATCAGGGCACAAAGCTGGAGCTCCTTGGCTATAAGTCTGAGTGCACGGGCGCCGTCCAGGTCCATTCTGTTCATTGTTTCCCCCCCCTGGAATCCCACCCCCTCATTTGCCCGGCAGCCCCCTCTGACCCCAGTAAACAGCTCGCCCCAACAGCATACATTTGGACGGTGCTAATTTGGGGCTGGAGCGACAGCACAGAGGGGAAGGCACTTGTCCTGCATACACTGACCCAGGTTCAGTCCCCGACCCCCTGACCACACCAGGAGTCATCCCTGAGAGCAGAGCCAGGTGTGGCCCCCAAACAAACAAACAAATTGAACTGTGCAGCTTCTCTTCAGACAGACTTTCTGCACAGACTCTCTTGGTCTATACAGGCCAGTCACATGCCGGCATTTTCTCTATGGTTTTCTTGATCTGTGTGTAATGTGGTTTTGGGGTTACCTTTGGGGGAATTGGGGGCCACACCCAACTCCGAGGCTTGGGAGTTGCTCCTGGAGGTGCTCCGGGGACCAGGCAAGACCAAATCAGCCCCGGGGCCTCCTGCATGCACAGCATGTGCACAGCCCACTGAGCAACCTTTCTGGCCCCTGTGTGATTTACATAATGTTTTCCTGTCCCTCACTTCTTTTCTATATGCTGTCAGAAGACCACATGGGACATATGATGTTTAACAGTCATGCTTGAAAACTCTATATTTGGTTCAAAATATTTTGATGAACATTGGGTGATTAGTAATTTCACCCAATTAGGGGGCTCCTCTAGGGTCTACCTAAGGTGCTGTATTTGATGCGGGGAGACCCACCTTGAGGTGATCAGGGACCACCTCCTGGCTCAGGGCTTGGGTCCATGCAGTGCTGGGGAGGGAGCCAAGGAGCTCGTATCAGTCTGTCTGTGCGGTCACCTGGGATTCCTCATTAAACACACTGTGGTTTGAGCTCAACTTCCACTCGTTTCCAGGTAGGTCTCTGATGGGAAGACCAGGAAGGCAGGCATTCACAGCACTCTCTTTCATCATCATCATCATCATCTTTGGTTTGGGGTACACCCAGTGATGCTCAGGGCTGCCTCCTGGCTCTGTGCTCAGGGCTCACTTGTGATATGCTGAGGGACCCTATGGGATTCCGGTGATTGAACCCAGGTCAGCCGCATGCAAGGTGGATGCCCTCCCCACTGTGCTATGGCTTGGCCCGGTTTTTATGATATTTTAAAACTGATTTTATTATTGGGTCAGGAAATAGTGCAGTGGTTAGTCCCTCCATGACGGGGCCATCAGCGTCACTGATTCTCCTGGAGGTCCCCAGCATGGTGGAGGCAGGGAGGCCAGGGTCTCTGGGCACCGCAGCTGCACCCCCTTAGGCCCTTGTGTGCTAGAGACCCAGGTGGTCGAGAGCTGCAGGTGGGGCATAGCCCTTGGAGGCCCCAAAGTCAATTAAACAAATCCTTGTATTATTTTGAACTATTCTGTAAATTTATTACTATAATGGTGACCACAGGGTCCAGGGAGAGAGGCCTGGAAGGGCTGGGCCTCGCCCTGGGTTCAGTTCCGGGTCTGTGCCCCAAGCACCCAGATGTGGCCCCCAAACCCCAAAAATATAAAAACCACCAAAGCCTAGGCCAAGAGCCATTCTGCAGGGGTCCCGCACCAGTAGCCCTGGCGTGACCACCTCTGTCCCCTCCTTCTCCAGGATCAACTGTTACAACGCCATCTACGCACAGGCCCCCTTTGGGGGCTTCAAGATGTCGGGAAATGGCAGAGAACTGTAAGTGCTTGGTGATCCCTGGGGGTCACCTCCTCTCCACTGGTCTCCGTGCCTCCCCCTTTCTCCTTCCTCCTCCTCCTCGTCCTCCTCATAGCTGAGCCCCAAGACAGCTCCCAATAGACACAGGGCCACATTCTGCAGCTCTGTGACATCGGACTGGCTGCATGGGGACAGAATGTGTGTGTGTGGGGGGGGAGGTGTCTCACCAGCCCTGGCCCTCCGCCAGTAAAACAGGCTCCCTCCCAGCCTGGCCCTGCCCCCCAGCCCTCCTTACTGAGGCCAGGCTGGTGGTGGATGCCAGCCAGGACCCCCCTATGCAGTGAGCACTCCAGCGCTGCATTCTTTCTCTTCATTTAAAGCAATTCTTTGGGGTTGAAGCCATAGGACAGCAGCTAGGGTGCGCGCCTCTGATCCCCCGCACCCCATAGGGTCCCCCAATTACCGCCAGAAGTGATTCCTGAATGAGAACCAGGAGTCAGCCCTGAGCATCTTCGGTGTGAAATATATATATATGTATATATGTGTATATATATATACATATGTATATACATATTAGAAAAAATGTTATCCGTCACCCTTGCAAACATCACACACCAGCTCAGCCTGGAGCCGTGGATGTCCTGCGCTCCCCACGCAGGCCGAGCGCTCTGCTCCTCTTCCGCTTACTCGCATTTGGGGCGCCCGGTGACCTGTCCTCTCTCTCTTTGTGGCCGCAGAGGCGAGTATGCGCTGGCAGAGTACACAGAAGTGAAGACTGTCACCATCAAACTGGACGACAGCAGCCCCTGAAGCGGGCGCCCGGGCTCCGCCCTCCAGCGCTTGATTGACAGCCGAGGTGGCGCCGGCACCCGGGGGAGCTTGAGCCCGGTGCCACGCGAATCCACTGCATTGGGACCGTTTTTTTGGTTTGTTTGTTTTTCTTTGCCCTCTCCCGTCTTGCTCATCAATAAGTTGCGTGTAAAACTGCAGTCCTGCCAGAGGGTGGCGCTGTCGGGTTTTTTCCCTCCTTCCCCTTAACCTGGTCACACCTGCGTCCCCAACGGACACACACACACGCACACGCACACGCACGCACGCACGCGCACGCTCGCACCCCAGCTCCAATCAGGACAACGGGGTATTGGCAGAGCAGAGGGCAGTGCCAACCGCAAGTGCTTCAAAATTCACTTCAAAATGCCCCAGGAAGAATTTGGGGGAAAGCTCCTGAAGTTTCCTGAATGTTCTGCAAAAAAACGGGCCGCCGGCCAGCACACTGCCCACCTTCGATGGCCAAGAGTCCACGTCAAGTTTAGAAAACACGGAAACAAGAGCCAGTGTGGGGAACCTTGGGGACCCGTATGTGGCCTGGAAAGTCCAGGAAGCCTTGGGCATGGCCCCGGTCCCCTTGGCTGTGGGACACAGCTGCCAACCAGGATTGCCTGGGGAATGTGATGGAGACCCCCGCCCAGAGTCGAGCATCAAGCTGCACCAGCCTCCCCCCTTCACCCAGGCCTTTCCCAGGCTTCAAAGGAGGCTGGTAGCGGCAGGGTTGTTAAGGACACGGCGCCCTGGCACGCAACTTCTCTGACCACGGAAGCACCCTCACTGCACAGAGCGCTGGCTCCTACTGAGCTCCACCTCCTCCTGCCCTCCAGTGTGGGCTCTGCAACTCCAGCAGAACTCCTGAGCGTCACAGGGCCTGAATTCGACATGAATTAAATAAAGGCAACAAATAACCCTGGGCATCAGGAGGAAGTGGGTCACCGAGCAGAATCCCTGACGAGTGACATTTCTTTTCCTCCTCGTGTCTCTCGATGATGAGCAACGGCTTGTGTTGGCTTGGAAAACGAAAAGGGCTTGATAACAGAGCAAACCGTCGCTAGCAACAGAGCTCAGAGGACTGAGTTCCTGCTTAGCATGCAGGACCCCAGGGTTGTGGTCCTCGGGCCACAGCTGGGTGCGCCCTGAAAACCAATAATAATAATAATAATAATAAAGACCAAACCAAATAACTTGTAATTCCAAGACTTTAACTTGAGTCACTGGTTTCTTTCTAGTAGCACTTCATGATGGAGAAATAAATTGTGTTTAAAAATTAAACTGAAAGGCTGGAAATCAGGGAGGGCGTTTTCCTTGCATGCAGCTGACCTGGGTTCTATCCCCAGCATCCCATCTGGTCCCCCGAGCACCACCAGGAGTAATTCCTGAGTGCAGAGCGAGGAATAAGCCCTGAGCATCGCCGGGCGTGGCCCAATCCCAAAAATAAATGTACCTATAATATTTTTTAAATTAATTGGGGTTATCAAATCAGATGGCTTTAATAAAATCAAGCTTTAAGGCAAAAGCAACATATGTCCAAAGAGAGACATCAGCAAGAATAGGGGATATCGTTCTTGTCAGAAATGTTAAATGTGCAATTCTCCGCCAACTAACACTTCTGTCAGTCACTTGTTGGATCAGAATTTGATTTCGTACACTGAATCGTCAGGATTTTCTCCCCAGTTACGTATCGACATTAACCTTAGCAATGATGCAGTAGAGGGGCCTCACTCTCTCCCTGTACAAGAATGCCTTGATTAGGAAATGCTTCATTATTTATGATGATAGTTAATGTATCTTTTTATAGTTGTAAGTACACAGAGGTGGTATATTTAACCTTGTGGCACATACTGTATTTAGAAATGAAAATCTCTGTGGCAGTGGATTTTACTTCTCTTGAAGTCTCCTGTGGTACATTTTAAACCTCGACTGGCCTGGGGGTTTGGATTGTAGCTGCAGAAAGTGTGTTCAGCTAATGCAGTGACCAGAAAATAAAACTGCCTATTTGAGGAACCCTGTGTTGGTTTGACTTTTTTTTAACAAAGCAAGATAATTTTTCTGAGCGAATTTGCTTAGAAAGACATGAAGAGAGAGAGAGAGAGAGAGAGAGAGAGAGAGAGAGAGAAGAAATAACATGATCAAGAACTCGGGCCTCTGCAGAGTGGAAAAAAGTCACGCTGAGACTCACAACAGAAGGCAAGAAGGAGCTGTGTTCAAGGGGGAATATAGGAATATAAGCTTGAGAAAAGGCCCGATGGCTTGGGGGTGGGGGGGTGTTTGTGCGTGTGTGCGTGTGAATGTGTGTCTCTGTGCATGCATACATGTCTCTGTGTGTCTCTGTGTGAGTCTGCATGTGTCTCTGTGTGAGTCTGCATGTGTGTCTGTATGTGTGCCTGTGTGTTCTCTGTGTCTATGTTTATCTGTGTCCGTATATCTGTATGTCTCTATGTGTCTGTGTCTATGTGTCTGTGTGCCTCTGTGTGTCTCTGTGTGTCTCTATGTGTGTGCTTGTGCATCTTTGCCTCTGGGTGTGTCTGACTCTGTGTCCTTGAGTGTCTGTGTGTGTCTGTGTATGTATCTGTCTCTGGATGTGTCTGTGTGTCTGTGTGTATATCTTTGTCTCTGGGTATGTCTGTGTGTGTCTATGTCTGTGAGTGTCTGTGTGTGCCTGTGTGTGTAGCTTTGTCTCTGGGTGTGTCTGTGTGTCTGTGTGTATATCTTTGTCTCTGGGTATGTCTGTGTGTGTCTATGTCTGTGAGTGTCTGCGTGTGCCTGTGTGTGTATCTTTGTCTCTGGGTGTGTCTGTGTGTCTTTGTGTGTGTTGCATTTACCCACCCTCTTTCCGCGGCTAATTTTTCTTGCTCTGACAATCAGGCCCCCTCACTAACTTCAGAGTAAAATGACATTTGCGCAGGTCATCTGCCTGAGCTCTTGTCCTAAGTGTGAGCCACACTGGGTGCCGTGGCCCCTGCTGTATGACTGACGCCAGAGACTGGCACCCGTAGCAGCTGACCAAGGTGAAGTTGGCGGTCAAGTGGCCTGAATCTTGTTTTCAGGAGGGCCTGCGCGTGCGCTTCCTCATCTTGCCGCTAGATGGCGAGGAAGCGCAGTGGCCACCGACTGGCCGGGCCCTGAGTGCGGCGCCACGCCCTGCCCAGTTGTGGGACTTTTCAAAGCAATCTTTTGTGGGACTTTTCGGCCAGCCCCTTTCCTGTGCTGGAATTAGGACCGAAGTCGTGAGCACCGGATTGCAAAACTTGCCCACCCGGTTGGAAGGGATCCCCGCCGCTGGAGACCAGGAGGAAGGATGGTGGGTGTTGTGCCCGTGGTCCCCTTCCCCTCCAGGGGTCCTTAAAAAGCCCTTCATTGCCCGCAATGTCCACAAGGCCCCGCGTGGTGGCGCTCATTATCTCTGTGCCTTGCCTTAACTCCTGGGAACGAAAACCAGGGGAGGCTGAGATGTGGGTCCAGCCTGGATATAGGATTTTTTATTTTCCTGAATGAGATTCTCTTTCCTAGGCGGTACATGGAATCTAATCAGAAACATCTCTGCCTCACTGACAAACATCCTGGTGGTAGGCGCGTGAATAAGACCTTCACGATGTGCTAATCCTCCCGGGCTAATGTAATGCATTGCCAGCGTGCTACCATGCTTTGTAAAACTTTTTATTTTTATTATTTTTATTTATTTATTTATTTTGCTTTTTTTGGTCACACCCGGCGATGCACAGCGGTTACTCCTGACTCATGCACTCAGGAATTACTCCTGGCGGTGCTCAGGGGACCATATGGGATGCTGGGAATCGAGCCTGGGTCGGCCGCGTGCAAGGCAAACGCCCTACCCACTGTGCTATCGCTCCAGCCCCTTTGTAAAATTATTTTAAATCATACCTCTCCCTCAAAAGACAAAGTACTTGGGGCTGGAGCGATAGTACGGTGGATAGGGCTTTTGCCTTGCACGCGGCCAACCCAGGTTCGATTCCCAGCATACCATATGGTCCCGGAGTAATTCCTGAGTGGAGGGGCGGGGATAGGTCCCCAAGAAGGTAAATAAAGCACATCCCTTTTGAGTGCAAGTTTCTGGGTACCTCAGACTTCCAGACCACCACAGGGAGTGGCCCCCACCACTCATTTTGTTGTTGTTGCTTGGGGTCACAACGCGGTGCCCAGGGCTGACTCCCTGACTCTGATTCAAACATCAGTCCTGGCGGTGCTGGGGCCACCATATGGGTGCTGGGGACTGAACCAGGGGGGCCAGTGCAAAGCAAAAGCCCTCCCTGCTCTACAACTAATGCTGTTTAATGCACCAGAAAATGATACCGATCCAGAGCTCCAGAAGTCAATTTGTGAAGAATTGCAGGTGACAAAATCTGAATGCCTGGCAAATGCCTGTTTCCCTTATGTACTGGAGGGAAAGTACATGGCCAGTTTCACCCCCACCCCTCCGGCTTTTTTTCCCCTTTAGGTCATACCCAGCTATGCTCAGGGGTTACTCCTGGCTCTGCACGCAGGAATCACTGCTGGCGGTGCTCGGGGGACCCTATCGAATCGGTCTCGTGCAAGGAAAATGCCCTCCTGGCTGTCCGATGGCTCTGGCCCTGGGCCGACTTTTTAAACTGCTATTTCCTGCCGGTGCGCACCGTCCAAGGTTAGCCAAGGATCCGGCTGGCAGCTGGGAGACAGAAAGGAAGCTGGACACATTTTTAGCCTTCAACCAACCGATCTGGTGGCTGAGACCAACCCAGGTGGCTAGAACCAGTAGGGGCCAGACCTGGGGACGTTTGGGCTTCAGAATCCGAGGACGACGATGGGGGGGGGGGGGGGGGGGCCTGGGCACGGGCCAGGGTCCGATGGCCGAGGCTGGGACTGAGGAGGGGCCGGCCGGGGTCCGATGGCGGAGGCTGCGGCTGCGGGGTCGCGGGCCAGGGTCCGATGGCTGAGGCTGGGACAGCGTGGGGGCGGGTCAGGGTCCGACGGCGGAGGCTGGGGCTGCGGAGGGCGGGGGAACCCGCGCCCGGTCCGCGCCCCGCGCGCTTTGCGCCGCCCGCCGGCCGCAGGATTGAGGAAGTGTCTGGGCCCGGCCCGGCCCCGGCGCGCGGCCCAAGCGGCGGGGGGCGACGGACCAGGGGACCCCTGCAGGCCCACGCGCTTTCCCGTGCTCCGCAGGTAAGCTCAGTGCGCGCCGCGCGCCCCCCGGGCGCCCCGACGGGGCCCCGCTGCCTGGCGGGCGCCCCCGAGCCCGCGCGCCGTTGCCACGCGGCCCGGCCCCGGCGGCCTCCGAGGACGCGGGCGACCCCCGGGCCCGGCGCACCCCGCTCGCGGGCCTGCGTGACGGGGGCGCGGGGTCGGCGCGGGAGCCCCAGACTCGGCCCGTGGGGCACGCGGGGTGGGGCGGGGGGCGGCGAAGAGGAAACCCAAGTAGGAAAAGAAACGCCCCGCACGGAGGCCACTTGGGGAGCAAAACCCGCGCGCCTGGCTCTGTGTGTGTGTGTGTGTGTGTGTGTGTGTGTGCGCGCGCGCGCGCGCGCGTGTTTACTTGAATGTGCGTGTGTGTTATGTGTGCATGTGTTTGTGCGCCTGTGTGCATGTTGTGTATGCACCCGTGCCTTGTGTGCATGTGTGCAGTGTGTGTGTGCTCACTTGTGCATGTGCATGCGGTCGAGTGTGTACCGTGTGTGTGCTTGTTTGTGCATGTGTGTTAGGGAGTGCTTGTGTGTACATGTGTGTATTTGTGTGTGTGCTGGGAGGGGGTTACTCAGGTTGGTCTCTTCCGTGGGGTCCTGGCTGCACCTTCTGTTTCAGGATGTCCTTTTCGATCGGCGGGAGAGACTTTGACCTATGAGAACTTGACCTGACAGCTCCCCAAGACCTGTCATTTGATTTGGTGGGGCAGGGGCAAGGGGCTGAGCTTAAGAAAGCTGGGGAGCAAGAAGGAGATGGTGATTGAAAATTTGGGGATCCTTGGGGGCCGGAAAGAGATAGTGGTGGAGAAGTTGGGGATTGGGTTTGGAGGGTGATGGGAAATTGGGGGGGCTCTGAGTCCAGCTCAGTTTTTCCCACCGGGTGGGGCACAGGCATAGTATTTGTAGGAAGTGCCCCAAGAAATTTATTCTTGGCCGTTTGCCACTCGCCTTGGTGGCGCATCCGAGGGGCAGCCGGGCTGGGCTTTCCTGGGTTATCTCTGTTGCCTTTGCCTTGGGTCTTGACAGGCTCGAGACTGAAATCACACAGCAGAGCTCCGTGTGCTGCTGGGGGCCCAGCAAAACCTCCATGGCCCCTCCCAGGGCACTGTCCCGTCAGACCCTTAGGCCTGGCGTCAGAGGCCTCCCGGCTGCCCACGGGCCTGTTGGGGACCTCAGGGTACATCCAGGTCCCTCCTTCCCCTTTCTCCCGGCCCGTGTGCAGCCCTCCTGCCCCTGATCTGCTGCCACCAAGTGGGCTCTTTGTTGCCCTTTGAACCTGGGACTCTAATCAGCTCATTCTGACACTCCAGGCCACCCCACCTGCGCCGGCATCAATCGCCAAATCCCAGCCAGGTCATTCCTGTACTGGGAGCCTGGGGGCTTCTGGTCTGGATGATTCTTCCCCTCTTACCCCTGCGCGGGGACCCACCTCTGCCATCTCAGACCCCTGGCCCTGGCTCTTCTCTCAGCCATCCCGCTGGCCTGTTGCCCTCCAGCCTCTGCTGACTTGGCTTCCTTCAGTGTCTAGAAGCTTCTCTCCACCGTGTTCTTCCACCCCGCACCGTGGTCTTCTGTCTGCAATCCCATGTCCAGTGCGTGTCTCCTTCATGCTGCACACCTGGTGTTGCCGCCCTTCCCGGTCCCTGCCCTGCTGCCTCCCCACCCAGCGCCCCCCCCCACGTGGGACTCCGGGACCCTGGTGCCCCCGCCAGCACTACCCAGGGATGCCGTGGCACCAGAGGGATAGAGGGATGGGGTCGGCCACATGCAAGACGAGTGCCCTCCCACTGCCTTAGTTCTCTGGCCCGCGGGGTGTTTGGGTTTGGTTTGGTTTTTTTAATTATTTTTATTTATTAATTTTTCCCATTTTATTTTCATAAACTTGTTAATGAGAGATAGCACAGCGGTAGGGCATTCGCCTTACAAGCGGCCAACAAGGCTGACCCAGGTTCGATTCCTCCGCCCCTCTCGGAGAGCCCGGCAAGCTACCGAGAGTATTCGATATGCCAGACACAGTAACAACAAAGCCTCCAATGGAGATGTTACTGGGCCCGCTCGAGCAAATCGACGATCAACGGGAGGGCCTTTACCTTTACCTTTTAAACTTGTTAAAAGTATTATTTTTTTATTGAACCACCATGAGATACACAGTTACAAAGTTGTTCTTGATTGGGTTTCAGTCATACAATGTTGCATTTCCCACCACCAATGTCCCTAGTTAACCCGTCGCCCCCCCCCACTTCTATGGCAGTCATTTTTCTTCTCTCTCTCTCTCCCCCTCTCTCTCTCTCTCTCTCTCCCCCTCTCTCTCTCTCTCCCCACTTTTGGGCATTATGGATTGCAATACAGATACTGAAAGGTTATCATGCATATACCTTTACCTACTTTTCAGCACTCATTTCTTGTCCAGAGCGATCATTTCCAACTATCATTGTCATAGTGATCCCTTCCCTTTCCTAACTGCCCTCCACCCCACATACACTTGTGGCAGCTTCCAGCCGTTGACCAGTCCTCCTGTCCCTGTTCTCTCCAGCCCCCATAGATCCCTGCGGCTTCCTGGCGTCCTTCCTGCATCTTCCAGTGCTCAGAAATCGCAGACCCTTTCTCAGCCTCCCCTGCTAAGTGGTGGGTGCTGGCTCTCTTGCTCTTCAGTTTTCCCTCTGCCCAGAGCGTTTTAGGCCTCCTGGACAGTGGTCAGGGGCACCCGGGCCACTTCTGGGAATATTCAGCACATTGAAGAGTGCAGAGTTCCCGCGGGTGGGGGTGGGGCCACCAGAGCCACCCCCAACTGTCTGAGGGGGGGTGGGGCTCAGGGGTGCCCCAGATAAAACAGATCTCTGGCTGCCCTCCCATGCCTGGTGGAAACCATCTGTTAAGTTTCACAAACTCCCCGAGTTTGCTTCTGGGCCCCCCAGCACTGCCAGGAATCACTTCCCACCCCTTACCCCTCACCCCTCCACCCTGCCCAGCCAGTTCAGTGCTGGACATAGCCCCCCAGACTGTAGGCATCACCCAGCAAATCCAGCTTTGTAAGATATTTACTATTGCAGAAAACCTCTTGAAGGCCTCTGGGGGGTATAGGTTCCACTTGGGGAAAAGCAGTGATACATCCCATTGGTCTGCACTCCAGGGGAGCAGGAAAGGGGAGCTCTGATCTACAGGGGACCCAAACTTTTGTGGACTCTTTCTAAACCTTTGCGTGGAAACTGGGATACAATGAATGTAGGACCCTGGCCCCATGGCCAGCACCAGCCCCAGTGAAGGGATTTTCAAAAGGAAACCAAAAACAAAAAGAGGAACAGACTTTCCTGTTGGCTTGACCTAAAGTGTGTTCAAAATTTTTTCCCCCCAGTTGAGAAACTTTCTTAGAGTAAGTCATCTGTTCTCCCTGTTCTCAAGAAGGAACAACAGCTTTGAGTTTTTTTTTTTTTTTTAAGTGAGGTTTGGGAATGAGAGGGTCTTGGCTGCAAGAAGCCATGGGACAAAGTTGGCTTTCACTGACTGATTTTCTGAGCATTCTGTTTTCCTTTAAGTTTTGTTGGAGTTAGCAATAGAAAGTCCATTTGTTATGTGCCTCAGGCGGCAGGTTGGGGCTGGGAGAGAAACTGGGGACACTGGTGGAGGGAAGGTCACACCAGTGACGTCGGAACACTAAGTGCCTGAAACAGCTGTCCTATGAACAGCTTTGTAAATCGTGGTGTTTTAATAAAAATTACAAATTAAAAAAAGAAGAAGCAGTCGTGAGAACAGCCGGCCAGCCAACCTCAACTCTGAATGGTTAAAGGTCAGGCCTGGGGAGATGATGCTGTTTGGGCCTTCGGGTTCTGGGGGCCTCAGGGCCACCCCACAGATGCTGGGGGTGCCTGGTGGTGCTCAGGGGACCTTGTCGTGCTGGGGATTGAACTCGGGACCTCGATTTATACTTGGCCTCTGAGCCGTCTGCTCCCATCTTTGGCCCGAGCAGTCCTGTCTCCTATTTGGAGACATTTTTATTTTTCCAAGTAGGTGATAGCACAAGGGTTTGGGCTCACTCCTAACTTTGTGCTCAGGGGTCAGTCCTGGAAGTGCTTGGGGGACCATATGGGGTGCTGGGAATCAAGCCTGAGTTTGGCTGCGTGTAAGGCCAGTGCCTTCCCCTAACTCGGTTACTCTCTCTGTAGCTGGAAAGTGGAAGTTTCCCAGCAAATCCTGTATCTATAGTGTAAAAGGGCCTGGCAGGGGTGTGTGTATCTGTGTGTGTGTGTGTGTGTGTGTGTGTGTGTGTGAGATTCTGATCTCTTAGAGGGCAGTCAGAAGGCCATGAGTTTGTGTGTGTGTGTGTGTGTGTGTGTGTGTGTGTGTGTGTGTGTGTGTAAATTCTGAGCCAGAGGATAAGCATGAGTCCACTCTGTGCTCACATCTCCGTGTGTCACTGCAGGCTGGGGCCACCCCAACCCCCAGTGGCACAGTGGCACAGCCAACGGTAGATCTCTCTAGAACTCATGTGGCCGCCCTGCAGGAATGAGGTCCCAAGTCCGCCAGTGAGCGGCTGCACGCGCTGGGAGCCAAGGCCTCTGTGGTCTCCTGCCCTTCTGCCCAGAGGCAGGGCACGAGCAGTGTTGTGTGGAGGGAGACAGGGATCTGGAGCTCGCTGACAAGTCTCTTCTCTCCACCAGGAGACAATTCTGCCCACCCATGCCTGCCCAGCTCCAGGGCAGCGGCCGTGACCGCGGCGGACCAGACTTGGAGAGGGGTACCCCCGATGGCTGGCATGTCACGGCGACCGCCCAGCATGTACTGGTGTGTGGGGCCAGAGGGGTCAGCCGTGTGTCCAGAACGCGTCATGGAGACCCAGGACGGTAAGGCTGGGCCATGGGAGAACATGGAGCAGTCAAGGGCCGGCTGTCCAGTGCCAAGTTGGAGTGCCCTTTCCCTTCTGAAACTGATTGGGGCCTGGAGTCGGAGTACAGAGGGGAGGGCACTTGCCTTGCAAGAGCTGACCCGGGCTCCATCCCCGGCACCACATGTGATTCCCCGAACACTGCCAAGTGTGGTCCCAAAACTAAATAAAATAAAAACAAAACTGATTGGGGGTTCTCGCTTAGATGATAGAAATTGGGAGGCTGTAAGAAACAATTGTAAACTCGAATTAGCGTGCCACTTCATAGGGTAGAGAAATAATTGTTGTCCCCTGGGGGGGCGTGTTTTTGCATTATAAAACATGCGAAACATGCGCATGTTTTTTAAAAATTAGAAAAAGGAAATAAAAGGGGAAATTAAATACCTCCCAGAGGGCCAGAGTGATAGTACAGAGTGTAGGGCACTTGCCTTGCACATGGCCAACCTGGGTTTGATCCCCAAGAGTGATCCCTTAGCACAGAGACAGGAGTAAGCCCTGAGCATCACTGCGTGTGGCTCTAAAGCAAACCTATTAGCCACCTCCCCACACACTGAACAACTGATATTGTTGTTACTTGTTAAACTCTTAGTACTTAAACTCCAGGTACTGAGTTTAGTGTCATATGAAATAATCCTTACAACTCTCTTTGAGAATCAGCCCTTTTTTGTGTCAGGTCTGTGTCAGATCTGAGACGAACTTGTGTCAGATCTAAAAGGGTCTGAAAGAACGTCGTGTTGAGTCTGAAGGGCCCGTGTGTCATATCTAAGAGAACCGTGTGTCATGTATGAAAGGGTGTGAGAGAACTGCGTGTCTGAGAAAACCCTGAGTCGGGTCTGAGAGGGTCTTGTGTTGGGTCTGGGGAGCCCGTGTGTCAGTTCTGAAGGGTCTGAGGAGCCAGAGTGTTGGGTTGAGGCACCGCGTGTCGGGTCTGAGAATCTGAGAAGGTCTCATATTGGGTCTGAGGGGCCCGCGTGTCGGGTCTGAGAGGGTCTCGTGTTGGGTCTGAGGCTCGAGTGTTGGCACTGAGGGGTCAGGGTGTCAGGTCTTGGCTGCCCGAGTGTCGGGTCTGAAAAAACCCGGTTGTCAATGATGTTAGTACTTAATGCTTTACTCAGTAACTCAGTAGACATTTTGTTCCGTTGTTTGACTATTTTCCCCATCAACGATACACAGTGGCTTACTAGGGTGTAAGTTTCTGGAAGATTCCTTTCCACATAAATCAAATTATGAAACGGGGAAGAATTCCCTTCGAGCTACGGCCCCGCATGGCCAGCCCTGCTGTCTCTGAGGCAGTTCTTTCCTGTGGCTGCCATTGTCTGCTCAGTGTGCGCCAGCAGCCATGGGGGTGAGGGTGGCGGCTCTCCCTCAGGGTGGGCTGCACCCACCTGTCCTGGGTGCTCCCAGCTCTGGAAAGTCCCTATCTGTGTCCTGCCATCTGGGTTTAGGAATGAGAGTGGTCTTGGGGCCCCTGGGGGATTAGCGGGTAGTGGTTCTCTCTGAAAGACCCCGCAGGGGGCTGCCCACTTGCCTTCCTGGCCCAAAGTCAATCATCTAATGAGAGTCAACCCACTGCCCCCAGGTCCCGCTGACTTTTAGGGAACCAGGTACGAGCATTTGGGGGAGCACCTGCCCCCTGCCACCCACCGGGATTCCCTCGGACCTTAGTATGAGGGATCAGCCCTTTGAGATTCCCCGGGGACCCTCACCATGTCCTGCCATGTGGACTCACATCTCTCCCCTGCCCCATCAAAAGTTCTTACTCAGCCAGAGAGCCAGCTCAGAGACTGGAACACGCGGTCTGTGAGAGCCTGAGTCTCTCCCCAGGCACCCTGGGAGTGACCCCAGATCACCGAGTTGAAAGTCCGAGCCATATCTCCAGCACGGCCATGGCTCCAGAGGCAAAAGGACTTATTCCAGAGCCCGGCAGCTTGCGGCAGAAAAGTGAATGGACCACGCGTTAAACTACGGCGCCATGCCTCCCCGGGAGGGAAAGGGTGTTGCTCCCTTCCGCCTTTTCCACCCCCCACCCCCAGCAGCAAGGTGGCTACCGCCTCGGAGCTTATAGGAAAGCCAGGTATAAGCCGGCAGTGACAGGGCAACTGCAGTCTCATGGGAAGGGGGACGGTACCGGCTCATCCTTCACGCCCTACCGAGGTCACGGGTTGCCCCCCACTCGTGGCTCTCCAGCACAGCCATAACACCAGACGCACAGAAACCAATCTTGTCATTATCTGGCTCTTTGCAGAAATCCAAAATCATGATATAAGTCTCAAAACCAGCTATAGAAAACAAAGTATTTCACAATGCCTTTTCAGCAATTGTGATTGTTGGGGCGGGGGGGGGGGGGTGAATTCTAAACAATAGTGATGCATCTTTTGTCGAAATAATGAATGTAATCAATGTAGAGAAGAGTTAAGTAGAAATCATCTGCCTCACAGGCATTGGGAGGGGTGGGAGGGGGGTATATTGGGGTTCTTGGTGGTGAAAAATGAGTACTGGTGAAGGTAGAGGTGTTTGATCATTGTAAGACTGAGACTTAAACCTGAAAGCTTAGTAACTTTTCCCACAGTGATTTAATAAATAAATATATCACTGTCACTGTCCTCCCGTTGTTCATTGATTTGCTTGAGTGGGCCCAGTAACGTCTCCATCATGAGACTTGTTGTTACTGTGTTTGGCATATCGAGTAGTCACGAGTAGCTTGCCAGGCTCTGCTGTGCGGGCGAGATACTCTCGGCAGCTTGCCAGGCTCTCCGAGAGGGGCGGAGGAATCAAACTCGGGTCGGCCATGTTGGCTGCGTGCAAGGCAAACGCCCTACCCTCTGTGCTATAAATAAATATAAAAAGAAAAAAGAAAAAGAAAATTTAAGAGCTATGCAAAGTAGAAAGATTAATATATCCTCATTCTATACTGAATTTGAAAAATTATAAACTTATGGAAGATTGTTATATTGTAAAATCAAAATCAAAATAGAATAATTTAGAAGAAAATTCATAAACATGTATTACTTTTATGAATGTGTAACCTGTTTGGTCACACAGATCATGAATTGAATGTTTTTAAACTTTGTTTAATGCTCTGATATTAGTATCATTAAATATGTAATAGTTTTTCATTTGTTTAAATTTTTTTGATTAGTTTATTCTGCTTCACAGATATTGTGGGGAGAGAAAAATGTGTCATAAAATGCTGATTATGGCACTATATTCTGTCATGAATGACTCTTTTCTACTAAGAATTCTTTAATAGTTCTCCATTTCAGTCTGATTAAAGTTGAGGAGTTTAAAACATATATATATGTAACAGTTTTTGAAGGAGCAACCCTATAGCCCGTCTTGATCCCCATGAACTATGATCTGATATTTCTTGTCCATTTGGGAATTTCATAGTTAAGTCATGCCAAATAAGAATAAGTTCCTTGGGGCTGGAGCAATAGCACAGCGGGTAGGGCGTTTGCCTTGCACACGGCTGACCCAGGTTCGATTCCCAGCATCCCATATGGTCCCCTGAGCATCTCCAGGGGTAATTCCTGAGCGCAGAGCCAGGAGTAACCCCTGTGCATCGCCAGGTGTGACGCAAAAAAAAATAAAATAAATTTATAAAAAATAAGTTCCTTAATAGATAACGATGATTTTACTGTTGACAATAAGAGAGAATTAGAACAATACATTTTAAGATTTGTTTTGTCTTTTCAAAATAAATAATTTCTTTAAAAAAAGAAGGAAAGAAAGAAAGAAAGAAAGAAAGAAAGAAAGTCCGAGCCATAGTTCAGAGGAGAGGGCACTGTCCTTGCACATGGTTGACCTGGGTTCAATCCCTGACATCCCGTAGGGTCCCCTGAGCACTACCAGGAGTGAACCCTGAGCACAGAGCCAGGAGGAAGCTCTGAGCAACGCCAGGTGTGTGGCCCCCAAACAGCAAACAAACCCCAAAAAGGTTTTATTCGACTTCCAAGGATCATGTGGGAAAGATCCAAACTTGACCAATTGGGTGGGCACTGGTGCCAGGGGTGTTCATGATTTTCCTTAACCCACCTCTTTGTTTTTTTTGGGGGGGTCCTTCTGAGCAATTCTCAGAGGCTCTCGGGGTCAATATATTGTTTCTTGAACAAGTGGGCCTGGTGGTCGGTTACTTAAGCCCGGGGTGTCGGGGCCAGTGGCGCCACTGCTTGGGGATGCTCACACAGTGAGGGTTCAGACCCCCGCCTCACTGTGCCAGGATTCGTACCTACACGCCAACCCCACCTGCCTGGACTTGCATCACTCAACGTTTTGTTTTCCTTTTTCGGTTTTGGGGCCACACCCAGCGATGCTCAGGGCTGACTCCTGGCTCTGCACTCAGGTCACTCCTGGCCACAGCACCGGGGACCCTCTGAGGTGCTGGGCTCAAACCCAGGTCGGCTGCGTGCTATATGCCCGCCTCACTGTGCTATGGCTCTGGCCTCCATAGCTCAACGTTTTGTATCCCTTGGAAGGTTCATGGGGGACCAGGAGTCCAGCACCACAGCTGCTGGGCTGGGGGGACACCCGGGCAGGACAGTCGAGCCCTGGAACCCCTCAGGGTCTCGGCCATCGGCTGGCCCAGGGCCAGAGCCTGCCCGAAGGAGGCAGCGCAGGGCGTCTGGCTCGACAAACACTTCATCATGCTTGTACGTGTGTCTGGCACTTGTCGGGGTGGAAAGACCTGTCCTACCCGTCCTGGGAAAGCAGAGGCAAGAGGAAGGTTCCAGATAGTGCAGGTGGACCAATGCGGGAGACTTCCGGCTCATGGGGGCCCAGGGGAGCAGAGCAGACGACCCCCCCCCCCCGAGATGACTCTCCCGTCCCAGCTCCCTGGGCCAAGGGAGTCCTGATCTTGACCCTGAGAGCCTGTTGCTTGGGCATAGCTGCCTGCATCTCCTGGAGCTGACCTGGACCCGAGAAGGAACTTTCCAGAAGGCCTCCTGCTCACAGGTTTTACTAAGCTCCTTTCTGTGGCCTGGGGCTCCCCTTCCTGGGCCTTTTCAATCGTGTTTGTGACATCCGGTCTTTGTGGGCCCCTTTTCAGCCTTCCAGAAGTGAAGTAGGAAATCGACTGCAACCGGAAGTGCCCGCAGGTCACTGACCCAGACCAGGGCCGAGCCCCTTTCACCGCCGAAGCCCAGATCCTGCAGAGGGCGGGTGTTCTGGGCCAGTGTTCATGCCAGCTGGGTGGGGGGCTGGGGGAGAGTGGCCTGGGGAGGGTGAGGCTCTGCTGGGTGGGAGGCTGTGGTCAGTGTGGTGCCATCCTCCAGCGTGCTCTGGGGACCAGCGCTGGTGACCATGAGGTGAAGGGGCAGGAGGTGGGTGTGGGGCCGTGATGGACCTGGGGCTGCCCTCACGGCTGTGTCTGCTGGGACCTCTCACATGGCCGTAATCGCAGGCTTGCTTGCCTCCAGCCATGCAGAGCTCTGCCCCATGCCAGGCTCTGAGGGCCACTTGCCTGGCAAGTATCACCAGTGTCTGTGGGGCGGAATCCCAGAGCGAGTTAAGACCGGTGCCCGAGGCCCCAGGAGCACAGAGAAGGTTGCATGCTCAGGAGGTGGCTCCAGGCTCCCCTGCTGGCCCCTGCCCTTGCCTGGTCCTGAGCACCACCGGGGCGGGGCTCTGCTGGCCCCCAGCACCACCGGACCTTGGGAGCATGCGGGTCAGGCCCCCGCAGTACTGAGCACAGACTCTGGAGAGCCCCCTGACTTCCCAGAAAAGGAAAAAGGACAGACTGGCACTGCCAGCGGATGTGTTCTGCTGGGCTGTTTCTAGTCTCACACACACAAACACACAGACACACAGACACATATACATACGTACACACAGAAACACACACACACACTTAGACACACATAGACATGTACATACATACACACAGAAACACAGGCATTACTTACACACTTAGACACACGTATAGACACAGATACATACATGCATACACACAGACACACAGACATATACACTTAGACACACTCATAGACACAATACAAGCATACACATAGACACACAGACACACACACAAACATGCAGATACACACACTTAGACAGACACAAACATACTAGACGTAGCACACAGACACAAACATACACACAGACACAGACACACTCATTGACAGACACACACATGCACACAGATTCACACACTGATACACATACACAAGCATGCACAGACACACTCACACGTGCCTCTTTTCCTGGTCCTGCTGCGTCCTGCAGGTGCCGTGTGACTTCCCATGTGACTCATGTCTTGGAGTCTCGGTGAGACTTTCCTGTATTGGGTGCACATGTTTGCGGTGCTCCTGGCTCAGTGCTCAGGGGTTGCTCCTGGTGCTCAGGCGACCGAGCAGTCCCAGGAATCAAATGTGAGACTCCCGCGTGCAGGGCATCTTCTCCAGCCCTTTTAAGCCACCCCAGCAGAGCTCTGGTGTGTGTGTGTGTGTGTGTGTGTGTGTGTATGAGAGAGAGAGAGATACACCCAGTTCAGTAGCATGCCCACAGCTTCCTCTCCTCACTCAGCCCCGTCTGTGTGAGTGTGTGTGTGTGAGTGTGTATGTGCATGTGGGTGTGTGAGCATGCGTGAGTGTATGTGTATGAGTGTGTGTATGGGTGGTATGAATGTGTGTATGTGAGTGTGTGAGTGTGCATGAATGAGTGTGTATGTGAGTGTGTTGTGAGTGTATGTGACTGTGTGTGAGAGTGTGTGAGTGTGTATGTGAGTGTATGTTGTGTGTGAATGTGTGTGTATATGAGTGTGTGTGAGTGTGTGTGAGTGTCTGTGAATGTGTGTGAGTATGTGTATGAGTGTGTGAGTGTGTGTGTGAGTGTGAGATGCACCCAGTTCAGTAGCGTGCCCACCGCTTCCTCTCCTTCCTCAGCCCCTAGTCTGTCGCCCGCGGACTCTGTGGGCCTGTGCTCACCACCTTGAGCATTGAAAGTCAGGGAACTGGTGGTTCACTGAACAGGATACTCCGTGTGGTGGAGGCCAGGCACTGTCTGGTTAAAGACGCAGAAAAACAGAAAGGCGCCCATGGGCAAACCCAGTACCGGGCACCCAGTGCCCCCGGCACTGGGATTCCACGCCTTGGGTCTCCGACGGGCTTCCTGGCGCGACTGCAGGGGCCTGGGCTGCACCTGTGCTCAGCTCCTCACTGCGGAGCTGACCCTGAGTGACCCAGGAGCCAGCCAGGTCTCACCAGGTGCCGTTTCCCGCCAGAGTCGCCCACAGATTCCCAAGTTTGTCAGCGGCATTGTAGAGCTATTTGGTTTGGGTTTGGGGGCCACACCCAGCAGTGCTCAGGGGTCACTTCTGGCGGGGCTGCCTGGTCCCACTCCCCCCCCCCGCCGGGTCCCTCCTGTGGACAGTGACGTTGGCGTCTGGGTGCAGCGAGGGTGACGCTGCCTGTCTCGTGCCACCCCAGGTGCCGTGGACATGAGCAGCAAACTGTCAGCACCAGGCTATGAGCCCACCGCGCAGTACCCTGAGGCACGGAGTGTCCACGATGCCTACCGGCAGGGGGACCGCAGCCGGGCTGCCCGGCTGCTCCATGAGGCCTGCGAGCAGGGCGCGACACAGCAGCAAAAGGTAGGACCCAGCCTCCGCGGGCAGGACACGGGCTGGCTTGCTGGCTGAGGGAGAGGGTTCACAGAGCTGAAATTGGGCTGTATGCAAGGAAGGCTTTGCTCCCCAGCCCCAAGCACAGAGCCAGGAGTCAGCCTGAGCACAGAGCCAGGAGTCAGCCCTGGGCAGAGAGCCAGGAGCTAGCCCTGAGCACAGAGCCAGGAGTCAGCCCTGAGCACAGAGCCAGGAGTAGTTCCAGAGCACCATAGATGAGCAGCTTCCCTCCAGAAACAATCCCAGATGCCCATTTTGCATTATGGGCTGCAGATGGGATCTGGATTCATATCTCACATGTAGCTTTGGGGGCTTTCCAGCCAAGATCCCCCTAAAATCCTGCTCTCCACCTCACCCACAGGGCACTGGAGAGGGAAGGAGAATGACCTTTGATCCCCAGCATCCCATATGGCCCCCTGAGCACCACCAGAGTGATTTCTGCATGCAGAACCAGGAGTAAGCCCCGAGCATCGCCAGGTGTGACCCCCCCCAAAACAAAACAAACAAAAACGTATAGCCTACCGTGGTCTTCTGCTTTGGTTTTGTTTGGGGGAGGCACACTCAGCGGTAGGTTGGCTCACTCCTGGGGTGCTCCCGCTTGGCGTCCCTTGGAACCGCCTGGCTAGCCTCAACTCCTACGCTTCCCCTTCCTTTATGAAAATGCCACCGCCGACTAGACAGTGGCCAGGAGGTGAACCTTGACTACTCGGTCCCAGCCCCCGCCGGAGCGATTCCTGAGGACAGAGCCAGAATTAAACCCTGAACACTACCCAGTGTGGCCAACCCAAAATAAAGTAAAGGAAATAAAGAAAATGGCTCTTGCAGAGCCGGAGATTTCCTACAGGGGTCAGTGCCCTTGGGTGCCTGTGTCCATCCTGGTTTAGCTCCCTGTCCCCTCCGGGGGGCACCCTGGGTGTGGCCCCAAATTCCACCAGCCCCCCCAAAAAGAAAGGGAAATACGTGAAAGCCAGGGGAAAGGAAAACAAAATGACCCTTTGTCAGCCCAGCCCAGTCTCCCCGGAAGGTCTAGGTGGACCTTCCCCGCATCCTCCCGGATAGCTACCGGCTCTTGCTTCTAATCCAGATGCCAGTGGGTTGTTGTTGTTGTTGTTGTTGTTTGTTTTGTTTTTTTTGGCTTTGTTTTTATAGTCCCACACAGAGATGCTCAGTCTTACTCCTGACTCTCCACTTAGGACTACTCTGGCTAGGGGACCCTGTGGGGTGCCGGGATCCAGCCGGGCTGGGTGTATGCAGGGCAAGCGCCCTCCCCACTGTGCTCTCACTCCCGCCCCTGCAGGCTGATTCCCGCAGATTTAGCACGCTGCTTTTTCTCACGTCGTCTGCCATGTCCGCCATCAGCCGGCTTTGGGCAGATTATAAATTTCTTTGGCTCATCACCTCCATCTAGTAGAATCCAGTCACCACTTTCCCAGCCAATCCCTTGGCTTGAAAACGTGAATCGTTTCTAATTCTTAACTGAGTAAATAATGCTGAATTGAAGGTTTCCCCCAGTTCTTATTTGTGAAGGCATTATTTATTTATCTTATTACCTCCTCCCTTATTTGTGGTTGACCCCCCCACTCACACACACCCACACCTGGGGAAGGACTCAGGATTACTCCCATCACTGTGCTCAGAGGTCAGTCCCTCGACTGTACATGTGGGGCACTGGGGATTTGAACTCCTGACCACACACTTGAGGCAGGTGGCTTTGATCCGCACAAGTTCAGCATGTCCCGGTGTCTGTAGAAATCAAGTTAGAACTTATGAAAGGCGGGGAAAGAAGGGGAAGGGAGGGAGGAGAGAGGGAGAAAATGGAGGGGAGGGAGGGAGGAAGGAAAGAGGAAGTGGGAAGAGAAAGAAGGAGGGGAAGGAAGGAAAGAAGGATGGAAGGACAGACGGGAAGGAAGGAAGGAAGGAAGGAAGGAAGGAAGGAAGGAAGGAAGGAAGGAAGGAAGGGAGGGAGGGAGGGAGGGAGGGCGAAGGAAAGGGAGAGAGGGAGAAAGGAAGGGAGGAAGGGGAGAGGAAGAGGAAGGGAGGGGAGGGAGGGAGAGAAGTGGAGGAGGGAAGGGAGAACTGAGGGAAGGGGAGGGAGGGAGGAAGGAGGAGAGGAGGGAGGGGGAGGGGAGGAGGATGGGGGAAGGCGGGGAGGAGGGAGGTGAGGAGGGAAGGGGGGAGGGGAGGCGGGAGGCAGCGTCCCTGTCCCGCACTGCAGCTCTGCCCATTCTCCCGGCCCAGCGGCAGCTGCTGACCGTGGCAGCGGCCCACGGAGACCTGGACGCTGTGCGGCTCCTGCTGGCCGAGCGGCAGGTGACGCTCCCCTTGGAGCCCGACGACGACAACGCGGCCGTGGTGGCGGCGCGCTTCGGACACGCGGACGTGGTGCAGGAGCTGCTGGAGTCTCTGCCAGGTCGGCCCCGGGCCCTCCGCTTCCACCCAGGGGCGCATGCGCGGCTGAACCGGGTGCTGGGTGCATGTGACGGCTTCACTAGACCGTCTGGTCTGAGTTTCGGGGTTGGATGACTGGGCCACGCCAAGCGGGGCTCAGAGCTGAGTGCCGGCTGTGCCGTGTGTCTATACGTGGTGCCAGGTGAAACCCGGACCACCCGCGTGCCCGCCCCCTGCTCTGCACTTTCTCAGGCCTCTTAGGGGCCATTTCAACTTCTGAAAGTGGATCCGTCTCTCACGGTGCTCACATCGTGAAAGTCCTTCTGCTCCCAGACCGTATTCCCAGACGATAACAGGGTATCACCAGGGGGACCCACTGAGCTCCGCACCAGGGTTGGAATTCTCGAGTGAAATGGATTTTCCCCCTGGATCATTAGGTTGAACTCAGTCCGAGAGAGGTTCATATTCTCTATTGTGAGCCGAGCGATGGGACCGTGGGGAGGCACGGGCCTTGCATGCAGCCCACCCAGGTTTGATCCCCGGCACCCATGTGGTTCCCTTGAGCCAGCGGGATGATCCCTGAGCACAGAGCCAGGAGTCAGCCCTGAGCACTACTGGATGGTCCCCTCACAAAGAAAGAAGAAAAAAAATGGGAGCAAAGCAGTTGCACAGCGGGTAGGCTTTTGCCTTGCGCACGTCTCCCTGGGTTCGACCCCTGGCATCCCATAGGGTCCCCTGAGCACTGCCAGGAGTGGTTCCTGAGTGCAGAGCCAGGAGTAACCCCCTGAGCATCTCCGGGTGTGACCCAGAAAAGAAAAAGGAAAAAAAGACAGTTCAGAGCTACTGTTCGAGAAAGCACCATCGTCAGCATGACCTAGATGCTCTCTGCCTAAAACTTCCGGTTCAAAGGGCTGAAGGAACGCGGCCGGCTGCCCCCAGCCCCTTCCTCAAGCTCCTGCTGTCACCCCAGGGCCCTGCAGCCACCAGCGCCTGCTCAACTGGATGCTGGCTGTGGCCTGCCAAAGGGGACACCTGGGCGTGGTTAAGCTGCTGGTCGTGACCCACGGGGCTGACCCCGAGAGCTACGCCGTGAGGAAGAACGAGTTCCCCGTGATCGAGCACCTGCCCCTGTACGCGGCCATCAAGTCAGGTGGGTGCCCCTTCCGGCCGCCCCAGCTCCCTCTGGCTTGGAGACGGACAGCAAGTCTTTACCACACCCACCAGCTGGCTCCCAGCACCAACCCCCATTTTTTGTCTCTTTATCCAACCCCCCATCTCTGGACCAGAGTGATAGCACTGTGGGTGGAGCGCTGGCCTGGCATGCAGCCAACCTGGGTTTGATCCCCAGCATCGCTTAGGGTCCTCCGAGCACCTCCAGGAGTAACCCCGGATTGGGGCTGGAGCAATAGTACAGTGGGTAGGGCATTTGCCTTGCACGTGGCCGACCCAAGTTCGATTCCCAGCGTCCCATATGGTTCCCCCGAGCACTGCCAGGAGTAATTCCTGAGTGCAGAGCCAGGAGAAACCCCTGAGCATCATCAGGTGTGGCCCAAAAAGAAGAAAAAAAAAAAAGGAGTGACCCTGGAGCACCGCCGGGTATGCCCCCTCCCCCAAAATAATAAAACGTCCCCACGTGACCTTCCCTCTGCCTCAGCATGCACCCCAAAAACGGGATTTCAGGGTTAGGGCCCTGGGTGGCGGGGGGTGGCGGGGAGCCTGGGAGCAGGCAGAGCCCCACGGAAGTGCTCCCTCTGGCAGGAGGTGGACGCCTTGGGCAAGGGAGGGGAAAGGGGCTTCTGCCCCGTGTCCAGGGGCTGCCGGCTTGGGGGGCCTGGCCGTGTCCCTCACCCGCCAGACACCCTGTGCTGCCTGTTCTCAGGGAACGAGGATGTTGCTGTCTTCCTGCTGCGCCACGGCGCCATGTTCTGCTCCTACGTGCTCCTCGACAGCCCCAGCGCCAGCCGGCAGCTCCTCCGAAGGTACTTCATCGAGGCCGGCGCCTGGCCCAGCAGCTGCCCGGGGAAAGTGGTGAGTCTGCGCTGCCCGTGGCTGGGCGGACAGAGGCGAGGGGGTGGACGGTGGAGGCCCGGATGGGAGTTGGTCGCCGTGGGTTTCTCTCTTGGGGTGAGACTTGAGGACTTTCCACCCTCTGCTGCCTCCCGGACCTTCCGGGCCTCACGCTCGTGAGCAGACGGAGTCAGAGGAAGGTAAAGGAAGGGGACCTCACTGACCGTGGAATCCCGGCCAAAACAGGGACAAACTCAGGTGGCTGTCCAGGGACTCTTCGATGGGGCGGGAAATAATGGCTGTTGCTTAGAGTTAGTAAGTTCTAAAGATCTAATGATGAGCCTGGTGATTATAGTTAATAAGACTTAGGGGCTGGAGCCAGAGGTCAGTGGGAGGGTGTTTGCCAGGCAACCTGGGTTCAGTCCCCGGCACCCCAGGTGGTCCCCCAGTCCTGCCAGGAGTGACCCCGAGTGCAGAGCCAGGAGTTCGCCCTGAGCACTGCGGGCTGTGGCCCAAAATAAAAACGAAAAACATGACCGTGGGCTGGAGGAATAAGCCAGGAAAAGGTACTTGGCTTACATGCACCAACCCTGGTTCAGCCTCGGCACCGTCTGGTCCCCTAAGCACTGCCGGAAGTAACCCCCGAACAATGCTGGGTGAAGCCTGGTCGGCCGCTTCCCCTTCCTCCACACACCCCCCCAGGACCTAACTTGAAAGTAGATCTTTGGGGTGGGACGTGACGCAGAAGCCAACCAAGCTCAACTAACACAAACACAAACACGGAAAGTTAACCAGCAGCTTAGTCACCCCACACAAGGACTTAATGCCCCACGGTGAGATACGACAGTGTTCACAAATTTTCTCCTATGGAAATATTTTTTGATCATCCCGTTAGCCATTCATTGGTAACACACAATATAAAATAGATTATTGTGGGCATGCTCTGGGGGCAGGTTTGGGGGGTGGCTGGGAAAATGGAGGCAACAGTGGAGGGAAGGTGACCGTGGAGGTCGGGTTGGGGTTGGGGTTTCCTGAATGCCTGGAGCAAACCATCATGGACAATTGTGTAAGCCACAGTGTTTAAATAAAGTGTGTGTGGGCAAAATCACTTCAAAGGAATTTATGTGAAGTAGATCTCGAGGGGCGGAAGCTTTAGTACAGAGGGGAGGGCGTTTGCCTTGCACATGACCAAGCTAGATTCCACCTCTGGCTTCCCACACAGTCCTGAGCACTGCCAGGAGTAATTCCCAAGCATTGCTGGGTAGCCCTGCACTGTAGCACTGTCCTCCCGTTGTTCATCAATTTGCTCAAGTGGGCACCAGTAACGTCTCCATTGTGAGGCTTGTTGTGACTGTGTTTGGCATATCGAATACGCCTCGGGGAGCTTGCCAGGCTCTGCCGTGTGGGCAGGAGACTCTCAGAAGCTTGCCGGGCTCTCCGAGAGGGACGGAGGAATCGAACTCGGGTCGGCCGCGTGCAAGGCAAACAAACGCCCTACCCGCTGTGCTACGAGCACAAACAAAAAAGTAGATCTAAAACGAACAAACAAAAGTCAATCCAGAATGTTCTCACCACCGACAACACATGGCAGCTAGGCCGGGGTCGTGCATCCCCAACACAGGGCTGTGTTCTGCCTCCTGAGTGAGCCCTCAGGGCTCCCAGGGTCTCCTCAGCGCAGTCTCGGAGAAGCTGGCAGGGAAGCAGCTGTTTTCCGTTTCAGAAGCAAAGCCAGTGTCGTGTTATTTATGTGACGCACGGCTTCCTGCTCAACTGTGGCGTGTCTCGTGGACGCCGCCCTGTGCGTGGGTCTGCTGTGTGGACCCCGCTTGGGGACTTGGGGGGCAGCCCGGCTCGGGGGCGGTGGGGCCCTCCCTTGGTCCTGGTCATGCTGCCTGAGTTCTGACGTATTTGCCGACAGGTCACAGTGGCCGGCCCTTCAGAATCACTTCCCCCGCCAAAGTCTGGGTGACTCGTAGTCTGACCAACAAAATCTGGGGATTCCTGTCCACATGCCAGACTAGCCAAAAGAGCGAGGAGCCCTTTTTTTTTTTTTTTTGGCAGTGGGGGCTGAAGGGTGTGGGAAACATTAACTTGGGCCATACCTAGCAGTGCTCAGGGTTGACTCCTGACTCTGTGCTCAGGGATCACTCCTGGCAGACTCGGGGGACCCTATGGGCTGCTGGGGATCGGACCCCGTTCAGGCGCTCTCCCTGCTGTACCATCCATCCCACCAGCCCTTTAAATTTCATTTATTTTTACGTGTTCAGTCTTTCTTTTCTCTGGCCTGTGTGGTGCCTGGGAGGAAGCCTTGCTTTGAGCTCTCCTGAGTGGGCAGTGAGTCTTCTGGTCCAATTTGGGGTGGGGGTGGGCCACGCTACTCACATCTCTGTGCTCTGTGCTATGAGATGGTTCCTGTGTTGAACCTGAGTCAACTGTGAGCAGGTAAATGCCTCACCCCCTGGAACGGCTGGTACGGGGGTTTTTTTGTTTGTTTGTTTTGTTTTTTGGGGGGTTGGCTTTTGGGGTCATACTAAGTGATGCTCAGGGGTTACTCCTGGCTCCATGCTCAGGAATTAATTGCTGGCAGTGTTCAGGGGATGCAGTGGGATGCTGTGGACTGAACCCAGGTCAGCAGTGGACAAGGCAAATGCCCTATCCGCTGTCCTACCCCTCCAGCCTCAACTGGTACAATTCTTGAAAACCAAAAAGTAGTGATAATACAGCTTCCTTTTCCCTCTGCATTGAGGCGGCACTGTTGCTTTCCCAGGAGGTACACCCTGTATACCTTTGGGTTCTCTCTGAACCCGTCCCCGACTCTGTCTTGGAATAAGGTAGTTCACGAAAACCTGTCACATGCACGTTTCCCATCCACATTGTTTGAAAAAAAATCTGATGGTTATTCAACGTGAATTCTTCCGTTTTGTGCATTTCCCGGGACATGGTCATTCTCAAGTTCTTTAAGGAGATTTTTCTAATTTTCTTTTAAAAATTTGTTCAGTCTTGTTTTCTTCGGCTGCTTTACTGTTTGCCACTGTTTGCGTTCAGTGTGTGTGTGTGTGTGTGTGTGTGTGTGTGTGTGTGTGTGTGTAAACCTTTTTCCCTTTCCTGGTTCCAGCCTGAACTTCCTGGTATGCAGAAAAGTTCGTTTTTTTATCATGTTTTGTCATCTTATCCAACCCCTTACTAATGCGAATAGTTTTTTTGGGGGGGGAGGGGTCACACTCAGTGATGCACAGGAGTTACTCCTGGCTCATGCACTCAGGAATTACTCCTGGCAGTGCTCGGGGAACCATCTGGGTCACTGGGAATTGAACCAGGGTCGGCCACGTGCAAGGCAAACGCCCTACCCACTGTACTATCTTTCCAGCCCCTGCGAATCGTGTTCTAGGAAATTTTCCCATAGATGAGCAAAGCCAGCTATGGCCCAGAGCACCATGGCTCCCTCCTCTAATTCTGGTGCTGCTTCTTCTCTGCCTGCTGGGGCATGGCTAAGAATTTCAGAAGCTGAGTCAGCCTGATTGTAAAGGTCTGATTCCCCATTGTAAAGGTCTAGGCATTGACTGTAGCTTTCTGGTGAGAGACTGTTAGGTGTTTTCCATGCTTTCCTTCTTGCTTCTTCTTTTTTTTTTTCTTTTTGGGTCACACCTGGTGATGCACAGGGGTTACTCCTGGTTCATGCACTCAGGAATTACTCCTGGCGGTGCTCAGGGAACCATATGGGATGCTGGGAATCGAACCCGGGTCGGCCGCATGCAAGGCAAATGCCCTACCCACTGTGCTATCGCTCCAGCCCTCTTATTTTTTTTTTAAGTGACAATGCATCATACATGGTGGGGAGCCGAGGTGGCGGGGAGTTTGGGTCTCACCTGGCAGTGCTCAGGGTTGACTCCTGGCTCTGCACTCCTGGTGGGCTCAGGGGACCAAATGAGGTGTTGAGGATGGAACCTAGGTCAGCCACGTGTAAGGCAAGTCCCCTCCCTGCTGTCCCGTCACTCCGGCCCCAGCATCACAACAGTCAGTGAGTGGCAGGGCCGTGTTTGGAGCATGAACATCTGTGGGACTCTGTCCAGGGTCCCGATGTCACTCCAGTCCACTCTCTCGAGAACATCACTGGCCGTGCTCAGTACCCGGGGGCAGAGTCACTCTTGGAACATTTCTACTTTAATCGGTTCATGTCGTGAAGGAGAATGTACCCCAGCCTTGAATTCCCATAACAAAGACGAGTCTATATTCATAGGTAATTTTTGTCTGTGATTTTTTAGAAAAATTTGTCTTTTTGGGTCACACCCAGTGATGCTCAGGGGTTACTCCCAACTGCACTCAGGAATCACTCCTGGTGATGCTCGAGAGGCCACCTGGGATGCCGGGGATCGAACATGGGTCGGCTGCGTGAAAGGCAGACACCCTCCCTGCTGTCCTATTGCTCCAGCCCTGTGGGGGTTTTTTGAAGGAGGGGGGGTATTTATTGCTTCAGACGATTTTGGTATAAGAGCCAGATGGTCCATGGAACATTACGGGAATAATTTTGTGGTTAGGGTCCATCGGTGAAAGTCTTTCATTCTCTGACTTCTCTTGAGATCATCAGCCAGCTCAGAGTGTCTGCTTTCCCTTCGATGCAGTTCAGAAAAGTGGCATTTTGGTAGAGAATCACCTATTTCTTGTAGATTTTTGGGTTTGTGGTCATGGTATCTTGCATTTCTACTTCTCTTGATTCTTCTGTATACGTCCTGTGCCCACAAGGAGCAGGGGAGTTGTGAGCCATGGTCAAGTCTTTGCCTCACATGCGTCTTAGCACTGGGTGTTCCCCTGAGCACTGAGTTAGGAGCAGTCCCACGGACCTGGGTGTCACCCTCACTGAAGTCATCATCGTGGTAACAATCTATATCATTGAGAAACATTCAACAGGCAATTTGTGGGGCTGGAGCAATAGTACGGCAGGTAGGGCCTTTGCCTTGCACGCGGCCAACCCCGCATCCCATCTGGTAAGCACCACCAGGCGTAATTCCTGAGCGTAAAAGCCA